ATTAACACACCAGTCACACACTCATCACACACATCACTCACCCACTCATCACACACACAACTCACACTCTCATCACATACACACCACTCACACTCCTCACACACACACAACTCACACACTCATCACACACACCAGTCACACACTCATCACACACCCAACTCACATACTCATCACACACATCACTCACCCACTCATCACACACATCACTCACACTCATCTCACACACACCAGTCACACATTCATCACACACACACAACTCACACACTCATCACACACCTACTCAATACACACACAACTCACACACTCATCACACACACCAGTCACCCACTCATCACACACACCAGTCACCCACTCATCACACACAAACCACTCACACTCATCACACACACACCACTTACACACTCACCACACACATCACGTGCACACTCACCACACACACCACTCATACACTGACCACACACACCAATTACACACTCACCACACACACTCATCACACACACACACCACTCACCACACCACTCATCACACCACTCACACACTCATCACACCACTCGCGTGGTGGTGGTGGGGGCGTGCCGTGTGTGCTCAATGTCGCCTGCCCTCTCCCGTGCAGTCGTTCCACTGCTGCTCGCCACGGAAGACGGCGTTCACCAAGATGGACCCGAGCTGCACACTGGGCTTTTACTGCCGCACGAGGGACGACTTCCTCGCGTTCCGCGATCGAGTCGTCAAGGTGAATGTGCGCCCGGCTCGCTTTGAGTATAGGACGTCTTCGCGCTGCCGCGATACTCGCGAGAGTGGAGGGACTTGTCGGCCCAGGAAAGACGCGGATGACTGAGACGTGCGGTTGGCTTGCGATGGGTGGATTGTTCTGCAGCGTGACCGTGGGAGAGGCCGTCATCCAGCAGTGGATTGAGTTTTGCTGATGGCCGATGATTGGGCAGAAAGCACATTCTGACAATGATTTCTGTAATTTAAGATAAAAAATCGAAAATCTGTTATTGTATTATTCGGCGCGGGTCTTTAAAGCTTGCCGTTGTTTTTCGACACTTTTGCCGTGCCGTGTCTCGCCGTGCGTTGGCGCAGGTCCTCCGGCCGTCGGCGGGAGTTGGAGGAGGAGGTCTGCCACAGGAGAGCTACCCCATCTTCAGTTTCATGTCGGGGCGGAGCCGTGACGTGGAGGATGAGGAGCCGAGGCCTGAGAGGCACGTGCGGCTCCACCCGGTGTGCCGTCGAGCCGCCCTGCGCAGCTCCTCCGAGGACTTCGTGCTGCTGTGACTTGGCAGCCCGCTAGTCTTTTCGGTGTAATTAAGCCTGCTGTGTAACACCGCACCCAGTTAGTCCTCGAAGGCGTTAACACTGCTGTAACGATTGATAATTATCAATCACGGAATGACAGATTATAATCTGTCATCCCGTGAGTCTTCTGTCGCTGTAGCACCGCCGCACCTCATTGGTTGTCTCGGCGGCGTTAAGTCTGCTGTAATCTCTCATCCCCTATTCTTCTCAGAGGATATATCCGTGATCACACCTCGTGAGACTTCTTAGAAGAATGAGTAACCTTGCATCCCTAGGTGCAGCTTTTACTAAGTGTCATGCTGATGGCACCCTGAACACGGTGAAGCTGCTTTGGGGACTGTGATATGCTATAACTTCTCACTGCCAAGCGCAGCTTTGAAGACTTGAATCCCGCCATGGGCCTGCAATCCGCAGGGCAGCTCCTGTACAGACTTGGTCCTTCTGCAGCTCCGTATCCCATGAACATGAGGACTTTTTCCTGCCGTAACTTCCCACCATCATAATCGCTGCCCTGCGGACTCTGTTTCCATGTGACATTGCATTCAATCCCTTCTGTTTTAAAAGTGTTGCGTTTGACCTTCACTTCAAAACTATTTTCATAATTCTGAAATTTCAGGCTTATTTTATTTAACCATTTGAGAACTCAAGAGACCGGGATGAGTCCGGTTTGCAAGAGTGTGGTGATAACGTTGATGCTACCTTTAACGCGCAAGAACATTTTTATTTAAAAAATTTACGACATCGCCCAACAACATGTACCTGAGGACAAAGATGTGCTTGTTTTCCAAGTCGTTGTGAAACTTGTAATCAGGGTGATCTTCCTGTAAACATGACAAATCCATTGTTTGCACCTAATGCTGTTACATTTTTCGATCAGTATTCGAGCAGGAAGCTGTGGTAATCGGTGGTCGTTGGTTTAACGTGACACTTTCTGTGAACCTAGCCCCAGGCACCTCCCAGCATCCTGTACATAAGGCCCTATACAAGCCCTAGACTGTGACCACCTGGTCTGGTAGCGTCATTTTCTGACGTTTTGCACATCCACCATCGTTTTAACTTTCAGAGAATTAATTTTGACGGTGAAATTTTTTTGCTCGCTTGTAAATATTGTCTCGAATTGTGGCGGGGGAAATGTTAATGTATTTTGTGACTGCGCTTGTGTGCACACAGGCGTACCACTGTGCACGGGTGTACGTTGGTATGTACGGTCATACTGTCGATTACACCTTGAAGCTCCCTTACACTGGACCACGGCCTTTTTCATTGCGTTTGTGCGGTCCGCTGGAACCGGATGAAATGTGCATCGTGTTCGACACGCGCTGCCCCTAATGTCTGTAAAGGAGTTTCCAGTGCCGTGACTGGTGTCAACCCCTTGCTGCTGTCTCTACCATTCAACCACACTCGGGTTTACACCCCATGGTGATGGTGTTGCCCAGAGCCAGCTAGAGTTCTTCTTCCAGAGATCAATCTGGGAGGCAAGTTGTCACGCTGGTGACGTCCTCGCATTAATTTTGGCTGCCGCGTAGCCCATGAGGTCGGGTCATCGTGCCGGCTCCAGCCAACGCGTGCGGGCGGTAGCCAGCTAATTGTTGTGACTGACACTCAAACCAGAGGAAAACCTGGGTAGACCGAGCAGCGGTCGCCGGGACTTCCACTGTCCGCTGGGCAGGAGGCTGTTTAATCTTCGGGTTTCCCAACTCCACTTCTTGCGACACCGCGATGTTGCCTCTCCACGTTAACCACTCGCCGCGGTTCCATTTCAGATTGTCTCTGCACGACGCTGCATGCAACAGTTGGTTGGTAAACTCGTCCCATGTGAGAACGCAGATTCAAATTAAGATAAATCGGTCCCGTTGATGTCATGTAATGACATGATCGTCACCAATTTATATATTTTTTATCTTAATTTTAATCTGCATTCTTTTCGTCCCGTGAGGTGTGTTGACCAACATAAATCTCTCTAAAAAGCGCGTGTGTTACATCACGGGGGACACGGACATAAACAACTCTTGTCTTAATTGGAATGGGCATTGTCACGTGGCACGTGTTTAACAATCATTGGGTGTGTACAGTGTGTAATGACCTAATTCGTATTTAAACGAAGGTTGGTTACAGTGGCAGGGAGCGCCGGTGGTGGGTCGTTGGAATTGGAGTCTGAGACCCGCCGGACAGGGCCGCAGGGCGTCGTGAGTCGACACCGATAAAAATGTTAAGCCGATTTAATTTCCGTTGGTGTTCAATATCTTTTAAGATACGTTGTTGTCCAGAAGAGGAATATGGTTACCTTCATAAAAGAGTATCTGAAGATTAAAAGGGAAGCTTTGTGTTTTATTTCTACGTGATCTGGGATTGGGTTTCTTGGAGATTTGTTTGATTTACGAGGTGGAGATTGTGACATGTCGCCATCCGACCAGGCAGATGTGTGGTGACGGCAAACCTAACGCTTCATCAGCGTGCACACGTTCATTTGTAATAATGACAGCGTTCCCTTTTAAGATTTTCTTGAACCAGGGAAACATTTTAGAGAAAATTTCGGAAAACCTGTGACGGATCCAAACGTTTCTGACCAAATATTTACGAGAAATCAAAGCCTTGCTCAGGGACTGGGTTAATAGCTCTGAAGCCCCGCCGGAGCAGGAAGACGCTGTGCAGGTGACAAACTACCTCAAGCAGCTGCTGCTGCTGCACCAGCGCGACCTGGAGTCGCTCTACCTGGTCGTCCGCTACATCAAATGGCTCATGGGAGGTGCCCGCGATGGCGCGTGGCACACCACGTTCGAGTTCATCCTCGAGAGCGTCCAGGCATTGCTGAAACGCACGTATGGCAGCACTCTCAAGCTGTGCCACACGACACTTTGCCGGCCGTTTGCGTGAAGCGGCACTATGGGCAACGTGAGCTACCTTTAAATAAACACTGAACACGTGGCCACTCCAACACAAAACACCACTCAACACCGACTTATGTCTAAGCTCAACACATTACGCACGACACGGCTAACAATGGCTCATCAAGACTCTTACCATGTTTGCAGTATAGCAAGTAAATAAATAACAATTTGAAGCCCTCTTAATATTTTAAATGTATCTGTCCGCCAGCGGAGCATTGCGCAGGCTCTTGGTGGTGTGCACGAGGTCACTGCGGGGTGGACGCTGCAATGACTGAGCCACTAGAACTTGTTACGTTCGCATCGAGAGGTGGCGGTGGTTTTTGAAAGCCTTCATCCAACCGTGGATAGACCTTGGCTAACGATGGTATTCACTTTGGCTTTGTTCGGTGAGTACGCATTAAATGTACAACTCATTATTGAGCCACTCCTTTATGAAAGTCTGCTTATGGCTCTAGAATTTGGTGTTACATGTTATTTATGTAGTTTATTGTAAAAATTCGGTCACAGTCCCTATGATCACTGTTACTTTTGCAATTATGGCTTTATTTTTTGGTGATTTTGAAAAGTGTTTTGGTTTGGACATGTTTGTGTTGTTGTAGTACAGAGTTAAGACTAATGGCCTTAATCTAAGTTTTCTTGTGGTTGTTGTTAGATTTGCATCCCACTGGGATTTTTTTGCACACAGCGTTGGTGTACGGTGTTTTTTTCAGGAATATTTTGCTGTTTTTTTCATGGATTTTCCGTTTGCACAGTCACATAGTCACTTTAAGATGTTTTCTTGTTCGTGTTTTTTGTTTTGTTGTGGTTGCACCCGATTCAAGAGTCGAATGGCTCACAGGGCTATACCAAAATAAATAAACTGAAAAAAACCTGAAGACTTGTCTCGCTTTCGCGTTAAGAGACGCGGCAGTTAGCTTTTGACAAAAAACGACACCATCCACTTGGCCGCATCAACGCCAAATTTGTGTGTAGTTCGCTTTATTGCATGCCACGAAGGCCTATGATGTCGCCGATTTTCTCTTTTAAGGCGGCATTATTGACGAATACGTTGAGTTTTTACCTAGTTTATATATCCCCTTGTATTTCTACATGTTGTCTACTATGTATGCATGCATCACTTGTTGCCACTACAGCAGATACAGATCAAAATAATTAATACACAAAAAACGATGCGGGTTTTGTCAGCATGGGAATCGATTTTATGCGGTTAGATCCTTGAGCCCGCTGACACTTCAGTGGACATCGAGGGAGGGGAAATTCACAGAGGGCGGTGAGTTTAATCCATTTACGCGGTACAGCTCGTGAAGCGAGGAGATGCGAGTGGCGTTGCGCACGGGACGCTGCGCACAATAGCAAGAGGAGCATTCGCAGAGATGCTGGCCGTGGGGAGGAGGACGCGAAGGCATTTTAAAAAATTAATGCGTAGCGTAGAACTATGGCGCATTACGTTAAATAATTCCTGTAAAACAGAAGGCGTCATGTAAAAAATATATATACACTCATTTAAATGTTCTTGTTAATTTGCTAGAAAACACTTGTCAACAATCATGCAATAATGCGATCGCATCATTATATTCACGCCATGTTCAGTCTGAATATATGATTCACTTATCATTTACATTGATTATGGGGAGTGAATCTTAGAAGACTGGTGCCACCGATGGACCACGCCACGTGTGTGCTGGCACGGAACACGTTTAGAACATCCCTTGTGTGCAGGAGGAGAGCGTGTGCTTCTGTGCGTACATTTATGTGCGCCGACGTGGAGTGAATCTACGTGGAGTGAATGTGAGGGGTGATACCACGTGGGTGAATTGAGTGACCCTGCGCAGAGTGAATCCCTGTTGGTCACCGCACAACGCTGCAGCGGTGCGTCGGCGCAGGCGCAGGGTGGTGGCCAGGGGGTGCAGTGGTCACTGGAGGAGGAGGGCCACGGCGACGGTGAGGAGTTCAAACCCGCGACGCCACGGGCGCGGGCGCCCCGCGTCGCCCCGACTCCCCGCGGTGCTCCGCGCTCCGGGCAGCTTCGCCGTCTCGTACACCCACGTGTGGTTCTTCTCAACGCACGGCACGCAACGCGTGAGTCAAAACAAGAGAGTGAAGTTCGTTTTTTTTTTGGGGTGGGGTGGGAGAGGATTTTAAGATTATTTACATGAATTACTCAAGTAAATTGTAGTCTTTAAATTATTTTATATGATGCGTCTGCGTGCTAACAATCCTGATGTTACCCGATGCCATCAGAGACCAATTTTGGCAGACAGCGTGGCGACATCACTTCTGTTTTTTCGGATCAATCCAAAACAAACATTCGGATCGTCGAGAATTTCATATCTAGGCCTGTGTAATGCACGGAAGTGCCCTTGCACAAAGTAAGACCCGTGACTATACGAGCCCTGTGATCATTTACTTTTCACTGCCACTTCCTCTTGTGGTTAACCAGCGACGCGAGCGGCAGCAGCAGCAGCGTCTCCCCCTGTGTTTGGGAGACAGTTTTCTGCTTTTGTTACGGTACGAGGCACTCAGACCCAGCACAGGCAAAAAGGCGCTCGCAGAGGCCCTTACAATGACAGGGGTATATCTGAACGCAATCAAATCACAGGACATTGTCACCAGATATAAAATACCAGCTTCCCCCCTCTAGTACTCATTTAGTACAGCCAAGATGCTGGCAGTCATGGACACATTTCATTTGTGGGCTGTTTCGAAGTGGTAGGCCGATGTGCAGGGCAGATGGTGTCAAGGGAGACCGAGGGTGAGATGGGGGGGATGCGGTGAATTTAATACCACGGTGCTCCTGTCGAATGTGTTCAGATTTTACGTGGTACAGTGACGGGATTGTGTGGCTCAGCAGCAGCAGCAGAAGGACGAGGTGGCGCGGTCACTCACCGAGAGGTAGAGCTTCACGTCGTAGTCCGTGTCCCGCAGGAGGCGCTCGTACTGCGTCACGCGGTCCGTGTTCCACGCGTACTCAGCCACCACCGCCTCCAGAAGCCGCCCCTTGTGCCTCTCGGGGGACGTCACCGTGTACTTGTTGCTTTGCCTGCGAATTCACACAGCAGTCGTGTGGGTCGCGCCCGGCACGGCACCGCGACGTGTGTTTGCGAGTCTCCGCACGGTGTGTGTGCGCGTGGTGTGTGGTGGTGAGTGTGTCATGTGGTGGTGAGTGTGTCATGTGGTGGTCGGTCTCATGGCGGGAACCGGGGGAGGGAGTTTCACAGTGGTGAGTCTCACGGTGGTGAGTACATCTCGTGTGCAGCGGTCTGCCTACTCGGTAGCTGGAACCTAAGGCCCCAGTATGTAAAGCCTCCGATGTGGAGGAAGGGGCTACGGGGAAACAGAGGAGCCAGGATGGGCGAGAGGGAGGCACGTTTTTTTTTAAACAGGGCTGGGACGTGTTTCTCTCAACGTGACTCGAAGAATAACTGTCTACAGGAAACCCACCCACACAGATTCCTACTTGAAACCTGATTCCCACCACCACCCAGCCCAAAAGAATTCTCTCATCATAACTTTATACCATAGGGCTCATTGCATTGCGGACCAACACCACCTGACCAGTGAATTAAAACATGTACACCTGGCCCTCAAAAGGAATGGTTACTCTGACCGTACCATCCGCCAAGCTGTTTCTCCCTCCATACAGAAACAACCACTTGATACTCCGGTCAAAACCATCACACTACCATATATAGCAGGCGTTACTAAAAAGATTTCCAAAATTCTAAACAAACACAAGATCCAGGTCCGGTTCAATACAGTACACAAAATTCGTGATCTGATCCCATCCGTGAAGGATGTCATTCCTGACTTACAGTACCCCGGGGTTTACAAATTGAGTTGTACCTGCGGTGATTGCTATATCGGGGAGACAAAGCGACATGTCTCTGACCGAATTCGCGAGCACAAATCAGATTTGAAACACGGCAAAACTAATTCTTCTGCCGTAGCTGATCACTGTTACAACGCTGTGGGTGATCACGATATAATTTTCTCTGATACCAAGGTTCTTTGCAACCCACGGGTTTTTATCAGAGATTTGTTCACGAGGCAATTCAGATCTACAAACACAGACACAATTTCAACTGAGAAGATGGTTTCAAATTAAGCAACCATTGGAAAGATGTTCTAAATCAAACCAAACATTAAACTAATTTTCAATGGTACATGTCTCTGACCGAATTCGCGAGCACAAATCAGATTTGAAACACGGCAAAACGAATTCTTCTGCCGTAGCTGATCACTGTTACAACGCTGTGGGTGATCACGATATAATTTTCTCTGATACCAAGGTTCTTTGCAACCCACGGGTTTTTATCAGAGATTTGTTCACGAGGCAATTCAGATCTACAAACACGGACACAATTTCAACTGAGAAGATGGTTTCAAATTAAGCAACCATTGGAAAGATGTTCTAAATCAAACCAAACATTAAACTATTTTTCAATGGTACAGTATATTTTTCAAGTAGTGGTACCCCAAACTTTCGCAGTTCTTAAAAATTCCCTTTTCACACCGTCAATAGGTAAATTCCCCCTCCCCCCGTGCCAAACGGCAAGTGCACCCTCACGTACACCACCTCTATGCTACGTTGGCCAATCAAATGCTAATTTTTATGCTAATTCCTTTGTCAAGGCACCTTGTTTCCTCGCACACAGCTTAAAGGTCGCGGTCTGAGCATGGCTGTGTTTCACTCCAGTGCTGTCCTCGAGACAGCCTGATCCCTTCACCTGATGAAGGCCGCTTGTGTTGTGGCCGAAACGTCGTGATTTTTGTTGTTTTATTTTTTACCTACGTGACTTTACCGAATAGAACCAAAGAGTATGGATCCTTGCAGTCACGAAAGCTTTAAATCTAGAATTGATAACCTCTACGGGGAGGGCTTTCACCTATCTGTTAGAGCTTTTAACAGACAACGGGACAAGAAGTCACAGCTCATCGAGACGCTGACGTTCCTCAAAAGATGCCGCGATCACAAGGTAATACCCATCGCTTTCACACTCACTTCTGCTGCTGTATCTTCGCCGAATTCTAAACAGATTCTGTTTAAGGCCAGCCTATCTTTAATCTCAGAGAGGATAAGGCTACTCCGATTTGAACTCGATACTTTAGACAGGACTCTCCTACAAGCTAATTTAATGTTAACACAAAAAATGTCACCTTCTGATTGGAATCACGTAGACAACATGACTGCTTCTTCTGCTGATTCACTGTCAGTCAAATGTAAAGCTATACCCGATTTCTAAATTCAACCACCTATCAAAGAAGAACCCAGTTCCACATATAACAAAACTAGACGTTAACAAAATCGTCATTAATCAGAGTAGCACCCCGATTTCGGACAATCTGAAAACAGTACTGGCTAGGGGACTGAATTTTGCTGTCACCCCAAAACACATACCAGTACTCTTTGGTTCTATTGGGTAAAGTCACGTAGGTAAAAATAAAATAACAAAAAATCACGACGTTTCGGCCACAACACAAGCAGCCTTCATCAGGTGAAGGGACGAGACTGTCTGGAGGACAGCGCTGGAGTGAAAAAAGCCACGCTCAGATTGCGACCTTTAAGCTGAAAGGTCGCGATCTGAGCGTGGCTTTTTTTCACTCCAGCGCTGTCCTCCAGACAGTCTCGTCCCTTCACCTGATGAAGGCCGCTTGTGTTGTGGCCGAAACGTCGTGATTTTTTGTTATTTTATTTTCACCTACGTGACTTTACCCAATAGAACCAAAGAGTATGGATCCTAGCAGTCACGAAAGCTTTAAATCACATACCAGTAGATGATATCATCTCTCAGGTCGATGTAGCCCTCAAAGGCGTAGGACACATCCAAGCAGACGTTGCAAGAGCTGAAATAGCCACTATTCTTAAGAATGCTAAGAAACCCATTAGTAACATCAGCAAAAATGAACGCTCTGAACTCGCGAATTTAAAAAAACAGAAGTGATATAGTCATCCGCTCAGCCAATAAAGGCAATGCTACTATAATTATGGATAAAGATTCATACAACAAAATCCAGAATCTGCTCAACGATGGAAGTTACTCAAAAATTAAAAACGACCCTACCAATAGCCTAGCGATAAAAACCAACAAGATCATCACAAGTTCGACCTCCCTAATCGACCCAACTAAACGTCCCTCCCTAAAACCTTCTGCTGCAAGACCCCCTAGATTCTATGGTCTTCCCAAGATTCATAAAGAAGGCACCCCACTACGACCCATCGTATCCACGATCAACTCCCCTATCTATAGACTAGCCCGTTTTCTGTCAGATACCTTGCTGCCTTTCACTGGCAAGACCGCCTCAGCAGTACTTAACTCAGCACAATTGGTCTCTATGGTCAAAGATGTTGTACTGTCCCCTGACGATATCCTTGTCAGCTTCGATGTGGTCTCTTTGTTCACCAAGGTCCCAGTACCTGATATCATTGAAATAATTGAAAATTTGGTCCAACATGGACTAGACCCCGATACACCTGCACTGGTTAAGCACTGCCTCAACAATACCTACTTTACTTGGAATGGCTCCTTCTACAAACAAAATGAGGGTACCCCCATGGGATCCCCCTTGTCACCAGTGATAGTCAATATTTTCATGGAGAATTTTGAATCAGATGCCATCCAGACTTCCACCCTCAGACCTTCCCTGTGGAAGAGATATGTGGATGACACTTTCGTCATTTGGCCACATGGCCTCCCAGCTCTGAACCTTTTCCTACACCACATCAATTCCAGACATCCCGGCATCAAATTCACCATGGAAGTGGAGAAAGATGGCAAGCTACCATTCTTAGATGTTCTGTTTGAGAGGAGACCTGATGGCTCATTGGGGCATTCTGTCTACAGGAAACCCACCCACACAGATTCCTACTTGAAACCTGATTCCCACCACCACCCAGCCCAAAAGAATTCTCCCATCAAAACTTTATACCATAGGGCTCATTGTATTTCGGACCAACACCACCTGACCAGTGAATTAAAACATGTACACCTGGCCCTCAAAAGGAATGGCTACTCTGACCATACCATCCGCCAAGCTGTTTCTCCCTCCATACAGAAACAACCACTTGATACTCCGGTCAAAACCATCACACTACCATATATAGCAGGCGTTACTAAAAAGATTTCCAAAATTCTAAACAAACACAAGATCCAGGTCCGGTTCAATACAGTACACAAAATTCGTGATCTGATCCCATCTGTGAAGGATGTCATTCCTGACTTACAGTACCCCGGGGTTTACAAATTGAGTTGTACCTGCGGTGATTGCTATATCGGGGAGACAAAGCGACATGTCTCTGACCGAATTCGCGAGCACAAATCAGATTTGAAACACGGCAAAACGAATTCTACTGCCGTAGCTGATCACTGTTACAACGCTGTGGGTGATCACGATATAATTTTCTCCGATACCAAGGTTCTTTGCAAACCCACAGGTTTTTATCAGAGATTTGTTCACGAGGCAATTCAGATCTACAAACACGGACGCAATTTCAACCGAGAAGATGGTTTCAAATTAAGCAACCATTGGAAAGATGTTCTAAATCAAACCAAACATTAAACTAATTTTCAATGGTATAGTATATTTTTCAAGTAGTGGTACCCCAAACTTTCGCAGCTCTTAAAAATTCACTTTTCACACCATCAATAGGTAAACTCCCCTTCCCCCCCCGCGCCAAACGGCAAGTGCACCCGCACGTACACCACCTCTATGCTAAGTCGGCCAATCAAATGCTAATTTTTATGCTAATTCCTTTGTCAAGGCACCTTGTTTCCTCGCACACAGCTTAAAGGTCGCGGTCTGAGCATGGCTGTGTTTCACTCCAGCGCTGTCCTCGAGACAGTCTGGTCCCTTCACCTGATGAAGGCCACTTGTGTTGTGACCAAAACGTCGTTATTTTTGTTGTTTTATTTTTTACCTACGTGACTTTACCGAATAGAACCAAAGAGTATGGATCCTTGCAGTCACGAAAGCTTTAAATCTAGAATAACTTTGGAGTCCCAGAGCTTCCATGGGAACCCAGACGACGGACCTGGAAAATCTGACAACTTTGGAGCTTCGAGTGATCTTGTGGATGATGCTGCTTTTGCTGATATTGACCGTGAGGCCTTTCCATCCCGAGGTCAGCCACACACTTGCCCGGAACTGCCAGGGTGGCACCTTCTCCAGAGTTTCACCGAGGCCACTAAAACACGCGTGCTTCCACCTCTTTCAACCGCCTTGTTGCTGTCGGGCGAGCGGCCTCACTTGGTCACTTCGCAGCCGAGGAGGTTGCGAGCGAGCGTCGGCACATTGGGGATGCTGCGGCAGCGCGCGAGCGAGATTCGAGGGTAGTAGTGCAGGTACGCCAGGCACATCTCTTGCAGCGTCTCGAAGCCTCCCTGGGGCGACAGGAGCCATCGTACGTCCCGAACGCAGAATAATCACCGTGCCTTGTCGCGGAGAATGTTAGCAAACAAAATAAGTACCGTTTCCTTCCCATCCTTTTGTCTTCGCGCTAACAAATAAAACGAATACTTTGTATGCATCGCATTGGCCGCACGGTCTTCTGTGAGTACATAATTTCAGCAGCTTTGGTTCAATCCCAACAAAACTCTTGACCGATTTAGACATTCAATGTCTCACCATTGAATGTCAGGCTTGCCTTAAACCAATGCTATTGGACTGCCAGATGTTTAAAGGCAAGTACCCTCTCTGTAAGATACGGGTCCGAATTCAACGCAAAGTTATATGATACATAGCACAAAATAATAATTGAGTGTCGTTGTGGAGAATATGAATGTGTTAACGATGGTAACGATGTTAGTATGTGTTTGGTGCAAGATTGAGTATTGTAGAACTTTTGGCCAATCCTGCCCCTGTGAGTAAGACTGATTAAAATGTAGGCAGTCATACATTTCTAAAGTTAGTTTATTTTTCTAGTTTTAAGTATTGACCATATGGCTGTTCCAAATGTCAACTTCTTAGCCCTTCTAGAACATGAACATTTCACTTTTTCACTCAATTGCTGTTTTACTCATTCAGCGAACTCTGTCCATTCATGATTGTCTTCAGTGTTGTAAAAATATAATAAAAATTAAGATATTTAAAATATGACGCCAAATATGGATTCAACACTTTTAAAAACACCCAAGTACAAACATGATTAGGATCAGTTTCAAAGACTAAAGTGAAATATATTTTAGTTTTCAAATTTTTCTAGTTAAAGGATTCCATTTCAATACATTGTTGTAGACTTGTCAGCTTTCCAGCAAATTGTAGATCATCCGAATTCACTCCACTCGGTCCACCACTGATTTGTTATTCGTTTTTTTGGTTTGGGTCGTCGTGCGGGTCCGTCAACTCGGGCTGTGCACTCTCGACCACCCGACACAGATAATCGAGTCAAGTTGTCACCCAGGAAAATGCGCCTGTCGAGTTTGTTTTGAGCAAGACCTGGCCATGTTGAAAAGCAAGCAACATTTGACAATTTCATTCGTTTCGCTGGAGATTACAACCCAGCCTCATCAGTTGTGAGCAGGTTTTAGCTCTAATTGGAATCATATCTCCACAACTAAATAAAAAAAAACTATTATGGATCATTACATCGGTTGGGAAAGCCTACGTGCGAACTCGGTCCCGACGGTATCGATCAGTGTTTCTCAACTTGTTAGGTACGGCGGCCCTCTGATCAACACGAGCGGGCGGGGTGTGAGAGCCGAAGCAGCTGCCTGTGGAGACGGTGAGGACAAGATGGCCGCCTGAGGCGCGCGCTCCCAGCAGCGGCTGGCGGGGGCCGCTTGTGAGGGGGCCGAGGGAGCGGACGGAGGGGGCCGATGGAGCCTAGGGGGCCGATGGAGCCGGGGGACCTGACGGGACCGGGGGAGCCAGGGGGCCGACGGGGCCGGGGGGGCCGACGGAGCTGGGGGGGGGGGGCGACGGAGCCGGGGGGGGGGGGGGCGACGGAGCCGGGGGGGGGCGACGGCGCGAGCAGAGGGAGCCGACACTGACTTTCTCACTCACATCATACACTGACTCACTCACACATCATGCACTGACTCACTCATCATGCGCTAACACATCGTGTGCTGACTCACACATCATACACTCACTCACACTGCCACTGACTCGCTCACACATCATACACTGACTCACTCACACATCGTGCGCTGACTCACACATCATACACTGACTCACTCACGCTACTACTGACTAACACATCGTGCGCTGACTCACTCATCATACACTCACTCACGTTGCTGCTGACTCACTCACACATCATACACTGGGAGTGTCGTGCTGCCAGCTATGGCTGCAGGTTTTTGCCGTACGTGTTATGTATATCGTTTATTGTTCAATTAAAAATCAGAGTTCCTATGATTACTGTTGTTACATTGTTTGTGTAGCTTTATTTTGGTAATTCGAAAATATATGGTTAATCTAAATTGTCTTATGATTATTGTTGTTGGCTTGTACCACATTGTGATTTTTGCACACAGCGTTTTAGTAAAAAATTTTGCGTGGAATATTTGCTGGTTGAATTCCAGGATGTTTCTGTTGCGCGTCGTCGCTTTAAGATGTTCTGTGTTCATATTTTGTTTGTTGCGGTTGCGCCCGACTTAAGAGCCGCATGGCTCACAGGGCTATACCTAATAAATGAAACGTGAATAAAACTTGAACATCACTGATCCCTGCCAGCCTCAAACTTGACTAAGGGCCACAATAAACAGAGAGAAGATCACATGTCCATGCCTCGAGTCAAAGCGGTTTTAGCAGGTCATTTGTGTTTCATGCTGTGTGTCAGTGTGTTGTCTGTTAGCAAGGCATGCGGTTCCTCGTGTCGTTGCGTGTTTTGTGTTCCTTGGGCATTTGTTTTGTGATGTATCGGTGTGTTTTGCGCAAGGCATTTGTTGGATATTGTGTATTCTTGTTGTGTCATCAAGGTTCGTGTTGTTACGTTGCGTATCGGAGTGTTTTGTCTGCTGATGGTCGCCGCGCACATTTATAATTTCTCCTGCACGGTATCCATGCCGCGTTCTTTGCCCCCCCCCCCACCTAGAATCGCGAGCGTGTTCGCAATCGGGACCTCGTGCTGCTGTGTGGTGCTTACAATGGTGATGTTCTTCCTCTCCTCCGTGTCATAGGTGCATTCCACCACCAGCACATCGCCCTGTCACAGTGACACACACACCACGTCACAGTGTCACAGTGACACACACAACACGTCACAGTGTCACAGCACGTCAGTGTTACAGCACGTCATAGTGTCACAGCACTTCAGTGTCACAGCACGTCACAGTGACACACACACACCACGTCACAGTGTCACAGCATGTCACACACACCACGTCACACTGTCACAGTGACACACATCACGTCACAGTGTCACAGCACTTCAGTGTCACAGCACGTCACAGTGTCACAGTGACACACACACCACGTCACAGTGTCACAGCATGTCACACACACCACGTCACACTGTCACAGTGACACACACCACGTCACAGTGTCACAGCACGTCACAGTGTCACAGTGACACACACAACACGTCACAGTGTCACAGCACTTCAGTGTCACAGCACGTCACAGTGTCACAGTGACACACACACCACGTCACAGTGTCACAGTGACACACACACCACGTCACAGTGTCACAGCATGTCACACACACCACGTCACACTGTCACAGTAACACACACCACGTCACAGTGTCACAGCACGTCACAGTGTTACAGTGACATACACACCACGTCGCAGTGTCACAGCACGTCACAGTGTCACAGCACGTCACACTGTCACAGTGACACACACACAACACGTCACACTGTCACAGTGTCACAGCACGTCACACAGACATCACGTCACAGTGACACAGACCCCATGATGCTGGACACTGCCTTACCTCTGCACAGACCGACAGCTCGTTACCTTGAACCGAGGCGTTTACTCACCGCCCGGCTTTCAGTACGTTCAAAATCCACTGCTGGATGAATGCCTTCCCGTGCCGCGCGGCTTGTGGTGATCGCTTGACCGTGCTCCACCACACTGATCAGCGCGGGTTTGTGAAGTGGTGGAACCATGGATGGGCTCAGCTATCGCTCGCCACGGATGTTAGCCGTGGCCATGATTCAAACTCAGGTTACCAGGTTAAGAGCCCCACTTCACTGCCCCCACCCCCTCAAAAACAATAGAGAATATGCAATTCAAACTGAAAATAACGCAGATTTCGCTTAAAATACGAAGTGGAAGAAAATGTTGAGAGAGAGGAGCAGATGGTGCTAGGAGTTGTACCGCTCACCGCAAACACGTCAATGTGCTGTGGGAAGTATCTGTTCTCCTGAAAGTTGAAGTCGTAGGTGTTGTCTTCACCGAGACTTCCAATCTCCTCCCCGGCCCTGGAAAACCACGCGGGTCGCCTCTCATGAGCACAGCAACGCAGCCCATCCTGTCGGAGGCAGCGTCCCCACGGCGCGCTCCACTCCGCGACGCGAAATCCGTGCGACAATCGTTGCGTTGTGGAAGCCTTTAAGGCGCCACAGGGGTGGGGAACGTCCGGCCCGCGGGCCGTGCGAGGCCAGCGGGCCGTGCGAGGCCCGCGGGCCGTGCGAGGCCAGCGGGCCGTGTGAGGCCCGTGGGGCTGTACGAGGCCAGCGGGCCGTGCGAGGCCAGCGGAATCATTTGGTCGCTGGCCCTGCCAAGGCAACCACAGGCGGGACTCTAAATTCAATAAATCTAGGAGCAAACCTGGAAAAGCAGTTGCGAGTAGCAACATCATCAATACCATCAATACCAGCTAACATATTTTATTATTTTATTGTTTCCCTTCAACGTGACTTTACCGAAAGAGCTAAGAATATCATCAATACCAGCTAACATCAATACCAGCTAACATCATCAATACCAGCTAACATCATCAATACCAGCTAACATCAATACCAGCTAACATCAATACCAGCTAACATCATCAATACCAGCTAACATCAATACCAGCTAACATCATCAATACCAGCTAACATCACCACACGCCTCACCAAAGAGAAGCAGTTCCAGCCATCACATTAGGGGTGAGTTAGTTAAATGTTTGACCAAATATAACAGGCTAATTTTTAAGTTGATAATTTTGTATGGCCCGCGAATGATGTTATAAATATCTAGATGGCCCTTGGCAGACAAAAGGTTCACCGCCCCTGCTTTAAGGCAACAGGGTGGGGAGCACAGTAGTACTGTACAACTTGTGCCTCACAGCCAGAAGGACCTGGGTTCAATTCTCGATTCGGGCACCTCGCTGCTGTGTAGCATTTGCATGTTCTCCCCCTATTCTTCAAAGGTTCTCTGGTTCCAACCCAAAGCTAAAACAATGTAATTGGTATTGGCCAAAACATCCCTATACTGAAAAATTACTGTCCAGTACTTACAAATTACTCAAAATTGACGTTCCGCATAGCAACAAGGCCACCTACTGCGGAAACTTGCCGGGACCCTTAGGCTCGGTGAGGCTTTCCTGGGTAATAAAGCAGCCGTGAGTGGGAATACAATGAGACCAAGACGACCACGTCCATGCCTTAATTACTTCAAGATCACTTTGTGGGCATGACAAAAAGATGTTTCTTGAAATGGACGTCTGAAGTACAGTATTTTAAAACATTACTGTGTCTCTTGACATGACACCGATATCACAATTAAAATTACTTCCATAATAGAGGTTTTTAGGTTATTTCGCGTAAATATATAAATGTGTCGTTAAAACCCGCCACCACCCGACACAGCCAATTCGTAAGGTTTGTCACGTAAACAGAACGTGGCCAATTCGTCACTAGTACAGCACTAACTGGTGTGTTAGAGAGCCAAGCCACAACATTTACAAACTGAGTACGACGTTTCGCCAGTAATAACAACCAGCTTCATCAGGCGACAGCCGGAGTCGAAATGTGTAGCCGGTGTGAGCTCGCTTGTGATGCATCGCCACTGTGCACTCTACTCGTTGCCACACAGAGTTAGGCTCCTACCAGTATTAATGTTGTTACTTGCTACAAGAGAATGCAAATAGTGACCAGGTGATGGGACCCACAGCCCCACGTGCTCAGCAAAGTACGAAGAACTCTGTTAGATTAGGGCGGAGTTCGAGCTGGTGAGCTGCATGCGCTCCAAAAATACATAACTGTTAAACAAATATTATACTACTTGAATGTCAATTGACTGACAGGAACTAGGCAATGTTAATTGACTGTCGATTGAGCTGTTGGTGGTAATGAAGATATGCACAATTAGGACTTTGATAATAAAGTTGATTTCAATATATAAAATACTCTCAGTAATTGGGTCTACAATATTAACGCTGAATCCCATTGGCAGGAATTCTGCTGCGGTGTTGTGGGGGTGTGTGTCGTCACGATTGCAGGTACAAGATTTACACTTATTTTTTTGTTGTATAAGATTTGATTCCTTCCAAAAGGTTTCTATTTATTGTTTATTTCCAGAGAGGGTAAAACCTATTCCTATTTTTTTACACGTAAATATTGTTTGACGTTTTTGCGCGGGAAATCTAATAAAGATGGCGTCTCGCGGCGTGGCGATTTATTTAAGTATTATTACTAGTATTATTTACTTGTTTATTTTGATCACTCCAACTCGAATCAATAGATATAACGGTGTTTGAAGATGATTACATTGTTTTGGTGATGAAAGTAGAAGTTTTTGTAATAGTTTATAACGTTTGGTATCGCGCTGTTCATTTGGAAGCTCGTTCTAACATTGAGCTCGTTGGGCGAGCGGCACCGGGTGACCTTGAACAGGTTACGTTCCCGATTTGGGTTTCAGAATTATGTTATGTTTATTGTCAGTAAAATATGACTTCTCTAATTTACGTATTAATATAATTTGATATTTTAAAAAATATATAAGTATGTATTGTCTCGTTTAGGCAGTGTTATCAGGAGCTGTAGTCGGTGCAACATGTTTTGGGCAGATGTTAAAATGTGTCTTGTTAAATGTTTGTTAAATAATATCAATGTTAAATGTTGTTCGGTAAAAGCAGCTTTTATCATAATTGAGATTTGTGCGGATTTGGAGCTGAGAATTTGAGCTGCGGTGTTGTGACCCGGGGTGCGTTTCTGATTGCAATTGCATCTGTTGGACAGAACAACGCAGAGTCTACTCATCCTCTCCGAACTTTTAGAAACAAAAAATTATCGTCGCTGTTGTCTATTTAGCCGGCCTCGCAAGGATTCACGGCCGGAAGAGAGCGGATAGGGCGGACCGGCTACAAACGTAAAGTTCAAGTCGAGGTCGGTGAGCGGACGGAGTCATGGAGTGGCTTGGTGAGTATCTGAACCTGATCCAGGTGAATGACCGCGGTGTCAGTATGTGTGTGCTCCATGGTTTGATATCGATCAGACTATATGATGCATTTGGGATTTTGTTTTTATTCAGCGCAGCAACAACAGCCGCCATTCGTCACTAAGTGGCGATAGTTCATAGTTCATTTATTTGGTATAGCCCTGTGAGCTATTCGGCTCTTGAATCGGGTGCAACCGCAACAAACAAAAAACATGAACAAGAAAACATCTTAAAGTGATTATGTGACTGTGCAAACAAAATACAGGAAAAAAACATCAAAATATTCCTGAAATAGCACCGTACACCAACGCTGTGTGCAAAAATCCCAGTGGGATGCAAGTCAAATAACAACAACAACAACCACAAGACAACTAAGATTAAGGCCATCAGTCTAACTCCGTACTACAATAAACAAAAACATGGCCAAAACAACCAAAAAACGTTTTCGAAATCAAAATAAAAGCCATACATCCAATGTAACAGTGATCATAGGGACTGTGACCGAATTTTTAACAATAAACTACATAAATAAATTATAACACCAAAATCTAGAGCCATATTTTAGGCCACTGAATAGCAGTGGCAGCTAGGGTTGTACAACTCCTCTAGAGCAGTTTTGCGTGAAGATCTCATAGGTAGTGATTCAAGTTGCAGTTTATTGGCAATAGCATTCCAGACCCTGGGGGCATCAATAGCAAAGGCCCTTCCTCCAGTTTTTGTACGGCAATAGGGAATGTGAAGCTGGTAAATGAGCAAAGACCTGAGGTCAAATTTGTTCTTTGAAACAGAGAGGAGATCCAGTAGGTAGTCTGCGGAATTTTTTGTAAGTACATCGTGAATAAATAAGATCTGGTGCACAAGCCGTCGAACATTAAGAGATGTTAAGTTTGACCCAATGTAGAGATCACAGTGGTGAGTCCTATATGGGCAGTTCAATGCAAATCTTAAGGCCGAGTGATAGATGGAATCAAGCTTCTTCAGTACAGTACTTGGGGCTGATTTATACACGATGTCACAGTAATCAAGTAGAGGCAGTATGGTAGCTTGTATCAATTCCAAACGGAACATTGGGGGGAAGCAGTGCTTGTGTCGATACAGAAAACCAATTTTTATTTTTGTCTTTTTACCAATATAATCAATGTGATCTTCAAAACTAAGTTTTGAATCCAGGATGACCCCAAGATACTTATAGATCTTGACTTGCTCTATTTGATAATTATTCAAGGAATGTAATTGGGGAAAAATAACTTCCTGCTTTAGTCTCAGAGAGAAGCATAGCACCTTGGTTTTGGAGGTATTCAGGACTAGTTTAAGAGAAACTAGCTGATGTTGTAGTATGTTGAAATCACCCTGGAGCTTAGCAATCACGTCATCTGGAGAGCGGCCAGCAGTAATCAGTATCGTGTCATCTGCAAAAAGATTTACCCTGGAATGATCCAGTTCTGTGCCCAAGTCATTGACATAAAGAGAGAACAAGAGGGGGCCGAGGATGGAACCCTGTGGAACCCCTTTTGTTATCTTAACACTGTTTGACCTCCAACCATCTGTGAATACAGTTTGGGTGCGAGAAAAGAGGTCATTTTTTAACCATTGTACTGTGTTCTCGGAAAAACCGAGGCAACTTAGTTTACTAAGCAGGGTGTTGTGGTCTACTGTATCAAAAGCTTTGGACAGTTCAAGAAAAAGACAGGCACAGTACTGCTTATTATCAAGGCTATTGTAAATTTGATTCAAAGAGTCTAATGCAGCAGATGTGGTGCTGTTTTTTTTCCGGAACCCAGATTATTTTAGATGTAGTAGATTGTTGGTGGAGAGGAAACTGCTAATTTGAGTTCAATAATTTTTCAAATTTTTTTATCAATGGGGACAAAATTGAGATAGGTCTGTAGTTATTGGGATCATCTTTAGGGCCCCCTTTGTGAAGTGGACGGACATAGGAATGTTTCCATTCTAGAGGAACTGATGCTTCTTTGATGGACAGGTTGAAAATATGGGCTATAGGTTTGTATATTAGGTGACCAACAGTTAGTAGAGCAAAGACGGGAAAACTATCTGCTCCGGTAGAGGAGGACCCTTTGAGGTAGGACAGTTGTTTCAGAACATTACTTTCGTGGATTGGTTGGAAACTAAATTCGTTTAATGTTTGGACAGGGGTGTAGGAATTTGCAGGAGCAGGGGTGACTCCCAATACATTATCACAAAGATTACCAGCTTCAGAAAAATGAAGGTTAAAATTGTCAACTATTTCTTTGGGATCTGAAAAATATTCCCCATTTCGGTGAAGCTCAACGGGCAGATTTTCTGTTTTGGATGCCTTTTCGATAGATTTGATTGTTTTCCAAAAAATCCTGGCATTTCCATGTGATTCCAGGAGAGTGGAGGAAAAATAGGCATTTTTTGCATGCCGTATTTTTTTATGCATCTATTCCTTAAAATCCTGTATTATAGCCAGTCATTTACCAAATTACTTTTCTGAGCACATGCCCAAGCCTTGTCCCTAGTTTTCATGAGCTTTGTAATCAAAAGATCATACCACGGTGGGCGGTTGCCTTTAGTTTTAAATCTAACCAACGGAGCATGTTTGTTAAGAATTTGGAGAAACGTGTACCTGAAAGTCTCCCAAGCCGTAGTCAGGTTGGGGATATCACAGACCTTATCAATATCCGAGTGAAGCACATCATTTGTAAATGCCTGAGTGCTGAAGTGCCTCAAAGAGTGCTTCTCAATAATTTTAGGGGGGGCTTTGGGTCTGGCTGATGATCTCACACCAAAAATGAAGGAGTGATCACTAAGGTTATTACCCAGAACACCAGTCAGTGCGAAATTGTGAGGGGCATTTGTCAATAGGACGTCAAGCAGAGTTGACTGTCCCGGATTTTTTAGGTTGGGTCTTGTGGGGACATTTATTCATTGAAACAAGTTAAATTCATCTGTAAAATTTGTGGCCACGGCCGGCGGGTTTAGCCAATTCCAATTTAGATCACCCACTAAAATTATTTCACCTTTAGGGAGGCCCCCAAAAAGCTCTCTCAGTGCCGATGCAGCTTCAACATCCTTCCCACAAGGCGGTCTATAGCAGCACACTACCAATATCTGTTGATTATTTGGGAGAGTTATTCTGAGAGCCGGACCTTCAAAGCAACATTTTTTTAAACAAGGAGTGAGCTGGTGAACATGCAATAGTGTTACGAACATAGATGGCAATTCCACCTCCTTTAGATCATCGGTCAAGCTGAAAAAGGTTGTAGTTTAAAATCGTAATCTGCAAGTCATTGACGGCAGGAGTGAGACATGTTTCTGTTAGGCAAAAAATGTCCGGGTCAAGATTTGCCACTTCTAGTTTTAGTTGACTTAATTTAATCACAAGCCCTCTGATGTTGACATGTAGAACACCAACACCTTTCCTGCCAGAAAAATCTACAGAATTATACGAGCTCTTTGCATTTGGGCCAGGATGAAGCTCAATACCACCCAGAAATAAGAAAAGTAGAATTAACAGTTTGCATAAGTATTTTCTGTGAAAGGATGAAGAGCGGCGAACCTTGGACGAATAGCAGCAGCTCACAGATGGTGTTATTTTTAAGAGCAGAATGAAGTTTGGAAGGAGTGCTGGTGAAGTAATGGGACAAAGATAGGGTTTAAAAGGATACAATGATGGAGTGTAGAAGTGTCTATGAGCTGTTTCATTTGCAGGTGTAGTGGCAAATCGAGCAACAAGTTTTGACGCAAAATAACGAGGGTAGCCGTTTGTAGCGTTGAGTGTGGCACTAGATATGGCCGGGAGGGACAGCAGTAGGATACACAGCAGGAGAATTGCGATGAAGTCACCATGTCGCTTGTGCCAGTCTAGGTGCACTTTTGAGGCCACGCTGACAGGTCACGAGGCAGACCCAGGTGCCATGGGTTGACTTGCCGAGGTGATTGGCAGATGCACCAACTGTGCCAATGCACAACAACAACAACCGCCATTCGCCACTAAGTGGTAGTGACGTCACCACGACGCCCATGCACAGGCACCACTGCACGCACTCACTGGAAGTGGCACTCGCCGGAAGTGGCACACACTCACCCGAAGTAACTCACACCGTTAGTGACTCACACTCACCGGAAGTGGCACACACCGGAAGTGGCTCGCACTCACCGGAGGTGGCACACACCGGAAGTGACTCACACTCACAGGAAGTTGCACACACTCACCGGAAGTGACTCGCACCGTTAGTGACTCACACTCACCGGAAAATGGCACACACCGGAAGTGAACTCACTGGAAGTGGCACACACCGGAAGTGGCTCGCACTCACCGGAGGTGGCACACACCGGAAGTGACTCGCACTCACCGGAAGTGGCGCACGTGAATTTTTCTCCCGGCCAGATGCGCGTGCAGCAGCGTGGCGAACACGTGCACACGTGACACGTGGCCCTGCATGCAGCAACGAGACGAGCAGATGGGTCACCATCCCTCGTCGTAGGGGCGCCTACGCGTGCGTTTTAGCGTGGGATATGCGACAGTGCTGTTGGGCCCTCGGCCAAAGACAAGGATCCCAACGAAGATAACTCACATCCTGCAGGAGCGCCGTGGTGCACAGGCCGTGGCTAACGAAGCTGGAGACGTGTGGGGGGATGATGTGGTAGGGGCTCGGGTCCACCCCCACTTCTATGATCCCCGCGTCGTACATGCGGAGTTTGTTGGTGTAGAAGAGCCGGAAGCCGGAGTTATCCACGACACCTGAAGGGGGGCGACAGGCGGTGTCGTGTTGTATGGTTGCAACACAAGCCCTCGTTTAATACGGAAGATGTTTTCCTGATAGTGCCGTGCTAAGAAAAAAAACAACGCGTTAAGCAAAAATAATTTTCCCTTAATGTAACGATAAGTAAAATTTGGCGAGATACGATGTACACACACAGTGAGGTGACGGGACGTAACTGAGGGTATGCTGCCGCATTACTGTTATCATTCCGCGTACTGTATTACTATACCGCTCAACCACGCAGCTCATGAACATAGTTTGTCATCCACCGCTCAGAAACCGCGTCATAACGGGGAGCGTTCCGCATCAAAATGGGGCGGATTCCGGGTCATAACGTTGCGGTTTCTGCCTTGTGCGAAAAGTGTTGCCTAATGGGAGGAACCGCGTTATAGCAAAAAGGCGTTCTAGTGTGAACAGCATGCATTAAGCGAGGACTTGCCGTAATCAATGCATTGCGAGTGTTTCAGTGATAACTCCTTCACTATGTGACGTCATGCCGCCCACCAGCACATGTTTTTTACATTGTGGCTTGCCAGAGAATCTTGCATGAAGGACTCTGCCCTCATCCACCTGGTCACCTCTAGATGTGGGCCCTGTGCCCTGACCCCGCACCCTGATCCCACACCCGGAATGTCATGCCCTCTGATCCCGTGTCCTCAGCGCCTGAGCCCTGACCTCACCGGTGGCGAGGTTGGGGTTGTCGTAATGGATCTCGAGCAGGACGTACTTGGGGTCACCATCTGTGCCCAATGAGTAGCCAACGTCCTTGGGGTACACGAACGCCTGGGCGCCAGGAAACATCGACCACTCTTTTAACAAATCATCCGGTGACGCCGCTGCTGATGCATTGGTAGTGGTGCACAAGCACAAACAAAAAAATAACCCAACACTTTCTTCCACAACACTGTTGGCTTAAAAGGAAAACTGTTTGATGCTGCTCTAAGAGGGATGGTGGTATTTATGAAGCTGCCCCACTCCTACCTTCCCCGTCAGCCACTATCTAACCGATCGTCGCACACTCGTCACACTTCACCCGCTGCCCTTCCACACCCCCACCACTACTCCACACATGTGAAGTCTCACGGATTACTCTTGAGATTCACGGTTTTTACATTTAGTATTAAAAGTAAAATAAAAAATTCTGGCACCTTGCATCAAGTTCCCTAATAATACACAGCTCAGGACAAGGCAATCACGCATAGCTCTGCCCTCTTCCGTTACTGCGAGATATTTTCCTTCCCGCTGACATGTCCTGGTTTTGTTGCAATGCATATCAGAGGCAGAAACCCTCTCAGTAAATAGAATGTATTCTTCACATCGATTCGGAGTCACGGATGGGGTTTGGATCGTCGGGTGCGCGGTCGGTGGCGGTTACCTCGCCACCGATAGCCCAGGCCACCGTGATGCCCTGGCACTTCCAGAATGGCTCGGGCATGTTGGGATGGTAGCACTGGTTCTGCTGCTTGTCCGAGCCTTTGATGTTGACGGCACAGCGGTAGAGGATCATGTGGTGCACGTATGGCTCACTGCCATTCGTCACCACTGCTTCCACCTACCCTCCAGAGAGGGGGGGAGGGGGGGGTACTAGTGAGATGTGTAGGTGGGGAGGGTGGAGGAGTAGCAGAGGGAAGTGGGAGATAAGGGTGTGAAAATTGAGGATGGAGGTAATAGGATGGGAGATTGAGGTACGAGAGTGGGAGATGCGGGCGAGAGATGAAGGTGAGGGACTGGTATGGAGGTGGGAAGGTGGAGGACTGGGAGATGCAGGTGGGTGGACGAGTGGAAGATGGAGGTGTGCGATCGAGTGGAAGATGGAGGTGGGAGATTAAGATGCTGGGGTGGGGAAGTAAAATACAGGTGAGTGGCTGGAGGGGTGGGAGGTTGGAGCAATTTTGGAGCAGTGGGAATGTGTCGAGGTGGTTGATGAATGTGAATGAGTGGGAAAAGGATCTGGGAGGTGGATGAGGAAGATGGGACAATTGATGGTGAGAGAGGAAGGGGAAGAGGGAGTTGGTGGGTCACGGTGAATGGATGTGGTAGGGTGGACAAATCGACACTGCCAGCTGGGTCTGAAATAGACACGAGCTTACAGGCATTACAGCCCCCAGAACCGATACGAGATATTACAACCAGAATCAGACGTCACATTCACAACCCGTCTCGCCACCATCTCAAGAACACGTGGCATGGTCCCCAGCGTGTACCTGCCCCCCGCCCCCCGCCCCTCACTAGGCCCCAGTGACCGGGTGGCCTCATCAGACATTGTGAGAGTGTGGAGGCCGCTGGGCCCCGCTGGATCCTTGCCTTAATGAGATGGTGTTTTTCTGTCAGCACGGGCAGCTTGAACATCGTGCACAAGTAGAAGGTGTTTTTGTCCGAAGGAATCTTGAACTGCAACGACAGAAAGCACAGCCCGCTAAGACCCACAGTGTAATGTGCTGGATGAGGGCCTCGCCAATGCCACGCGGATCGTGGGAGAGTTATTTTACCGTACTTCACGCTAATTCAGTGCATATTTATGAAGGCAGCATAGGCGTGGGAGCATAGAAGTGCAGTACAAACATGGTATCTTTTTTTAGTTGTCCTTCCCCCGCACTTCCGATTAGCACAGTTGGCCACGTACGGTGCGAAAGAAATTCAACATACAAACATTATTTATCTGTGCTGTCCTTAACATGAAACGTCGGGCCAACGGCATGTTTACTGGGTCCTGGAATGATATTGAACCATATGAATTACTAATTAGTTTCGGTGGTTGTCATAGTAAACATGAAATTCCACAAATAGGCCACTTTTCACACTAAAATTGGATGCAATTCAAAAATAAATAAGACGTTATAATCAATGTAGTTGGATTGTCACTATTATGTAACAAAAATATATCTGCATACAAACTCCGGGGTAATTGGGGGACAGGTAACCCGAGTTATATCCGACGTCCCGACCATGAATCCACTCAGTTGTCCGGAGGGCTCGGTGGGGAAGGGGAGGGGTTGCGCTCGGGGGGACTGCGGAAGGTGGGAGTGGGCACCTGGAGGTGGGGAGATGGGGATGTTGTTGGGGGTTAGAGAGGGCCTGTCACTCAGCGATGGGTACTTCCTCTCATATATAACGACAACAAAGCAGAAATGATTTCAAACTGCGATTGAATTCCTGCTGCTTTTGTAATAGCGTTGTTGTCTCTTCCTGGGCAGGCTTCCTGCAGTCTCCCCCGTCCTTGCCTTGTGTGTGTGCTTCGTCTGGAGCTGGTATGACTCATTTATGAAGTCGATTGCTCAACTCACAATTGCAATAAACTGCTTTTTTTGTGGTGGATTATTCGAGCCCTCGAAAAATGGTGGCCACCCCCACATTTTATAGGCAGGAAAAATCCTTGGAACCCCATCGAGCGTGATACGGCTGATGATGCCAATGACATCACCAAGCCCTGCCGGCCACCTGTCCAATAATCAGTGCTTCACTATGCCCTGTAGGAGTGAGTGCTGTCTGTCGTGAGTAGAACTTGCACGAGTGAGTGCTTGTAGTAGTGAGTGCTTCCTGCAGTGAGTGAGTGTTCCCTTCGATAGTGGGTGAGTGCTCGCGTTGCGGTGGGTGAGCCACGTTGCTGGTGAGCAGGTCGGCGGTCGTGCTTGGCTCCTGGACCGCGTCGCGATCCAAAGAGTACGACAGCAGCAGCACCGACTTGGTGCCGCGGTTAGCGCCATGGTGAACGATCACCACGTCGCTCCCGAACGCGAACACCGCTCGCATCGTGTCGTGCTACACGCCAGGCGCAGAGACACACACACAGTACGCGCCCAGAAATGACAAGCGCAGATTTGTAATGCATCGACGCACAGATGAGGCAGACATGACAGATATGGTACGCGGACACGATGCATTGACCTTTAGGTTTTTTGGATAGATCGCGTAAATATAAATGTTTCAACGACACGTAGACTGTGCTGACACATATTGTCTATCGTTAATGACACATTCATATTTACGTGCTCTAACCCCAAAAACTTTATTAATAATATAAACGCCCAACTTTATCTGTGATGAATATGATGAACGCTGCACTTCCCGTCGTTTTCATGCAGGGGGCGCTGCAAACCTCCGCGCCCCCTGCATGAACGATGGCAGCGCAGGGACAGACGCTCGATTACGTTGGCATCGATCTGCAGACGGCGGTCTACTCGCACGGCCAGCAGCTCTATGTCGCCTTATCTCGATCCCGCAATCCCAAGCAGGTGAAAGTCCACATCGAACCGAACCCCCGGCAAGGCCATCTACTTAACGACGAGAGCAAATTCACACGAAATGTCGTTTTCAATGAGGTCTTCCAGATGTAAAATAATATTTATATATCAACAACTTTTTCTGTCTATAATGAATATGATGAACGCTTGAGAGAGAACGAAAAAAAGAGAGAACGAGGCGATTCAGTGTTGATTCCCAGAATCGACTTGGCCCCCACCGACACAACTTTGCCATTTGTTTTGCGACGACGACAATTTCCCATTCTCCCCGCATACGCTATCACAACCAACAAGTCGCAGGGACAGATGTTCCATTACGTTGGGAAGCGCACAACTTTATCTTTCTATGATGAATGCTAGGTTTTTGGGGGGCGACGCAGGCGCCCCCCAACAACCTAGTGAATAATATTGCTCGCGAAAGCCTACACATTAGAATGCATTGATGCTTTTAAACCTTGTTGGAAAGCATTCATAAGAAAGTAAAAGCGGTGCGTGTGATGCAACAGAATCGATGAAGACTCACCGTGATGTCCACGTCGTACTTATCTCCGGTCTTGAGCTTCCGTCCGAACGTGACCACGCGGTGCTGGTTGACGAGGTTGAGGCTGTAGATATGGACATCCTGAGAGTCGTCCTTCACGGGGGTTGTCTCACTTGCTGAGTAACGGTCCTGACGCCACAGGGACGATGGGGAGAGAATGATGCGTGTGATAGGAGTCAATGTGTGTGTGACGGCAGATGAGAGTGTGTGATGGTGAGTGAGGCCTTATCATCAGCCCACAAAAAAGCACCTACTTGGGTATTTGATGTCATCAAATGCCCCACATCCTCAACTCCCCACGAGTGATGGGGCAGCTATGGAGAGAATGGATATGTTTCCGTACCTGGTCAGTATGTGTATGGCCAGCTCTGGTTTGGCAGCGGAGTTCTCGCTCAAAATCGGCCAAGCAGTATTATCTTTTCATGAGCTGCATAACGCCGGTTGGAAGCTACCTGACCTGTCGCTCCATACGAATCTCGATTTTCTCTATGAAGGAACATCTGCACTGGTTTAAAACATTCACAGACCCTTGAACATTCTGGACACGGTCCCATCAGTGATCTCTTCCAGCAGCCGAGGCTGCGTTGGCTCGGTCTTCTAGCCCGCATGCTCATCTGCATGCCCAAGCAGGTTCTCTTTGGCTGGATAGAGGGGGCTAAATGGCATGGCACAAGTTGGAGAGAAAATAAGCTCCTGTGGTACAGGATATTAGGCTGATTGGACTCCCCAATGACTGGTACCAGCGATGTCAAGATCGTCCTCTGTGAAGGAGGCTCGTGGAGTATACTACTGGGCAGTTAGAGGCAGACACCCTCTAACAGCAGCAATGTTAAACACTAAACAGAAGATAATTATTTAAATAAAGTAATTATTTAAGTAATTATGCTACAGGGCTGACCACAACCTATCCAAGGCTGCCCCCCACTCCCCTCTCTTACCGTGCAGGTGTAGTCGCCACCGGCATGGTCGGCCCCACACACCACCATGTCCGTGTCCTTCATGCCGCCCTTCCTCGACACCCCAAACCCCACGTAGCCAGCGGTCTGCACTTCGATCTTGAACACGATGTAGGAGCTGTTGATGTTCCACGACAGCAAGAAGTGCTCGTGCAACTTCGTACGGTGCTGGAATTTCTCCAGCGAGAGCTCCGTGGCCCCAATTGGGCCGCCTGTCAGGGCAACCGCCAAGGCCCCCAGCAGGCACAGCCGGGCAGAAAGGGCCAGCATGTCGCGCTGTGATCTTCCGCCCCAGGGGATCTCTCTGCTACCACTCTCGCTCCCAGTAATGATATTGCCAACGAATTATTCAGTGACCAAACTAACGTTATTCTTCTTATTATAGTCTGATTGTGGCTGTGAGTCGGCCGGCTGTGTGACGAGGTGAGATTGATGATGAGTCCGGGTGGAAATGCCGAGCGAGCAAACTTTAGCAACGCTGGGAGAGCGTGCAGAGGAAGAAGACCGCAAATAGTAAATCCCTTTATAAGTACGGTACGTAAAATGATTGACCGAGTTCCGTGATTTTTGGCTGACGTGGTAACATTAGGGAGGAACAAAGAGCGTGCCCCCTTCTCGTCAACATTTAATAACGACGAGCGACCGACCGCTTTGGTCGACGAGACTAAGAGAATGACTCTACGACTTGACTGTGACTCGACGGGTTGTTGTCATCGACTGGACTAAGATGTAAGAGGTTTTATTGGGTTAGATCGCATCAATATAAATGTGTCGTTAAACCCGCCACCACACGACACCCAATTAGTAAGGTTTTTCACGTAAACTAAACAAGCCAATTCGTGCCTAGTACAGCACACTCGCGTTAACACTGCCAGGCTCCACGTCTGTTAAACGCTGGCGCAACAGACAGGCGCTAGTTTTTATTATATCTACACTTAGCTTGATGGTGTTCCGACACGAGGCGTGGGCGTTGAGGAACTGTGACCGCCATGCGTAGGTGTGGTGGAGATTATTGCAACTACTAGAGTTGCGTTTTTTGTGCAACCAGACACAAATACAACGAACGTACCTCCCACAACTGACGCACGAACGTACCTCCCACAAACACTCGCAGGAGGCCCTCTTAGGTCCAGCCAGAACGAGGTGGCATTATAATGACTTAGAGGAGTATTCCCAGTAAACATGCAGTGTTGAGCCAACGTTGCATGTAGTTGGAACCGTTGGACTAACTAACGGTGGTTCAACGTGCAATGTTTATTGGGTTAGTACAAATGGAAAATTAAAAACTCTTCAGTGTGCGACTGTGGTCATCCAGAGCAGGCCGTACAACGACGCAAAGCCTGAACCACAAATACAAGGAGATAGCGCAGCGATACACTCCGCTATTCCTGACGCGACTATCTGTCTTGACCACCTGAATGTGAATTTGTAGCTGTTGCTCTGCGTCTACATCAGCTATACGAGATAAGGCTGGGTTAGCAGCTGAAATTACAATAACACCCTGTGATTATAATTACCAGTGACACATGGTAATTGACCTTAGCTACAGTTACCGACAGCACAGCAGCCCATCCCCCATGGTCGTGGTGCTGTGCCGACCGGGCTGAGCGAGGTGGGGGTTGGCGGATCACGCGGTGAGCAATGAGACGTGCAGTTCGCCGACTTGGGCGGTGAGGTGGCTGGAGGGGGCAACGTTCCATCGTACATGCAGGGCCTGCTGTGCTCGCGCCTTGCCCTGGTAGCTCTTGTGATCTCCAGAGCGAGGAACCGCAAGGAACCGGGACTGCAACTCTGTGCATTGGCATGGTGGGTGGCATACGACCGTGCGGTGGAAAATAGTTTTGTTGCCTGATGCACCTTGCCATTTAGGACTAAGAATTTCCTACTGTCGCTTGACAAATTTAGTTGCGGTGTGTTGGTGTTAATCAAGCTTGGTCTTCTTATTCCGTCCGGGGTTAGCGCCGGAGGGACCGTGTTGGTGGACGTGGTGGAGTAAAAGGGGGAGACCTCCACCTCCTCCACCATGGCAAGTATTGAGGTGTGAGCTGGGTAGGAGGGCGCGAGCTAATGGAAGGGGAAAGAGCCAGGGCAAGGTGGCTTACGTGGAGTAGGATACGTTTCTAGCAAGGACTGGCATTGTTAATCATCCTGTGGAGTTCTCATATAACTTTTATTAAAATAAACGGCCTAAATTCAGATACAATGAGGAAATTACCAAGTACATTTCGTAATGTTTATCTCCCTCCGCAAAAGTGCAACCCTGATAACACGTTACAGTCGTGATAACATGTCACACAGCGTTCACACGCATCGCACACTGAGTGTGGCACAACCAGTGTAGGAAGACATAGGAAACCACACGACTTCTTATTTCTGATGTGCCGGGGCAGCTTGTCTACTCCCCCTCTTGAGGAGAAATAATTGCACAAACCTTGCCTTGTGTAGTGCTTACAAATACTCCCATTCCCATGATGAAGATGCAAGCGTAATTATCATGACCCTTACAGGCTGATGCCAGTCAAATAAAATTCATCACGGCCTTAGCAACCGACCCGAAATAATGAGAGCTGCAGAAGCCGATGACTCGGAAGCACGGTGAGGCCCCAGAAAGTAAATCGACCAAACATCTATGTTTCATAAAGTCTCATATCTGGCAGAAAAAAACCCCCAACAAATACCAGTCCCCGCAAACCATTTATTGTAGCTCCAGGTGAGTAAACTCCATCGAAACCGCCACTGAATACCGCTCCGAACACAAAGTTCTCATGCATGCACCTTCGCATTGTGCCATAGCTATACATTGCCCGTCCGTTTGAAACGCTTCCCTCTATTCAGTGGCGATTAAAAGTTTAAATAAAAAAAACTAGCGGATACCAAACATGCACTGTATTACTAAGACGTTATACCTAAAAATTTCACACCATTAGGTTATTTAAGCTGCTTGAATACGCTTTAAGACCGTGGACCTTTAGAGGCCGTGGCGCCTCTCGCACCGCGTGCCGTGCATCTGCACGTCAACCGTCGGCGAGGCTGGAGGAGGCTCATGGGGTTGTCTCGTCGCCGAGGAGAGACCACGGCACGAGGGAGGGGTAGGAGGCTGTCCGGGCCGCTCGTGAGCCGAGCCTCGAGCGTGCGGCGACGGGTAGAACCCCTCAGACTCATTTCCAAACCTCTGTGTTCTTCTGGCAGACCACGCTGCAGGGGGCGAGATGTTGAATGTTAACGGTGCAAATTTAGAGGTGAGAGCGCCGAGTTGGCGTCGCTGAGAAGCTGGGTTTGAATCCACGTTTTGGATGCCTGCGATTTCCAAGCGTAGAAGGCTGATTGATGGTGGTCGCCAGTGACTGCCCAGTAAAATCGTCGCATTAAATTTAGTTGCGCGCTTAATTTTTATATATGACAGCTCTGAGAATTACTAATTTTAGTTTATGTGACGCCAATCTAAATAAAACTGTGCATATAGATAGACAATCCGACTTTAACTTTAAGCGCAACCTCGAATTGTGAAAATGTCTCACGTCAAGGAAGAGAGTGAAAATTGTGACTTCGGCAGATAATGTGAGCACAAGGTGAAGGACCTCGGTTAAAGGGAACATTCGACTTTGTGAATTTCCGGCCCTCATGAACTCTCAGTGGCCAGGTTCAACATTCACTCGGCAACACTTACTTGAATCCAGAGTTCTTGAGTTCATTCAGATCAGCATCTGCACAGTTGATGACTGCGCCTGTAAGAGAAGTATGGTAAGTGATACAAACTTATTTTGTGAAAGGCTGAACTCGATTAACGACAAGCTGTATACTAGATGACTGGAAAAATATTTTTAGTGAGTTATTATTACCTCCAATGGCATATGGAGATCACAAACACGAACATAGACTTGGAACAAAAACTGAGTGCGCAAAGCAGCATGAAGAGATGCATGTGCATACCGAAAGAGGAACACATGAAGCTGAGAACACACATGATAAACTGTATTGAGTGAAGTAAGCTGGATTGGGAAGGACCCATCATGGCTAAAAGGGATGATGGCCGATAGATGGAGACTGGTCATGGGATGGAATCCAAAGGCAGAAATGTGCCCAAGAGGATGACCATCGTGGCCATGGAGGTTTAAAGTCAGATGGCGTGTAGGAGCGAGATGGATCTTGGCATTGTGGGAACATGAGGCATGGTGAGGGCATGCCGAGGCCTTCGTCCGACAGACGATAGATCACGGTTCGTGATGGCGATGATGGAATATTGGGGAAAAAAAGGCACATGCATTGTAACTAATAAATCACAAATACACTTGCTTCCCACATCACACATATTTCAGTTGAAATTATCAATGCATAAAGAATGTTGCTTTGTGGACAGGTATGAAAAGTGTTACTTGTATATTTATAATTCTTATAGACACGTTAGCAAAATACCACAGGGCCACAACGTGTGCAGAGAAGGCTCATTGGGGGTGGGTTACCGCCCCCACTGTCATCCTCTGCCCAGAACCCCTCACTTTCCGCTCTCCACCACCCAGATTTCACGTCTCTACTTCTTTTGAAAGTGGCGGGGGGGGGGGGTTGCTCCCAAACACAAAGTCTGCTCAGGGCGCGCAGTGGGGACCTCGACTGCACGCCGGCGCTTCTGGGAGTCTCACCTTCCTCGTATTCCTCCATTTCAATCTTTCCACGGTCGAGGTAATGGATTGTCACGTCTGCAGCACAAACACGTTATTGGGTGCGCGGCACGGGAGATCAAAATGCATCTCTAAAAATGGCTTGAGTATGGCAAGCAGGTTTATAATATCTCCCGGAGATTGTTTTTGTGTTGTTATTATCCCTCTCTTGCACAGCCAATTTTTCTCGATCGGCTACCAATTTTCGACCATTCGCAAAAATACTCGGGAAAACAGGACCGAAACGCAGCGTCAGAATGATACGGAGAAAGCGGGTGTGCTGGGTCGGTACCACTGGCGATATAGAGGGTCCTGGTCAGAATCTGTCCCTGCAGCTGCAGCAGCAGGGATCCGCTGGAAATCTGAAACGCCTTCCCTCCACGCGACGCGAGCACGTCCAGCTGACCCTGGTTGGCGCCGCGCACGCCGATAGCCAGCATGCTCACGGCGTGCTGCTGAAGCAGCGCCGGCACTGCAGAGACGTCGTCGCTAGATGGGCCCCACGTCACCAGCACGATGCTCTGCGCAACAAGCGGATCCGTCGTTTCGTTTACAACGGGTTGTTGTGGGCCAAGTTGAGATGTCACTTGCCGTTGATGTTAGCCACGGCCATGAATCAAACTCGGCACTAACAGATTTGTGGTGCAGCTCGTCGGCGCTCTGTCGCTCCCCCTGTTCAACCTACGAGAGCGAGCAATGTAACAATTTACTTAAAAGGACGATACCAAATATCTAGGAGGCTCAACCAGGACACTGGGAGAGCTGGAAGCCCCTCTGCATGTGAGCCCCGCCTATCTTTACATAGCCACGCCAACGACTAGCCCCTCGCATTGGGTCAGAGTGTCCCATTACTCAGGTAGCCCCTCTCACGCTTTAAATTAACCTCTCTGCTTCTTTCCTCGCACTGCTCCACTTGAGAATTCCTTCCCATGTAATTGTTTTACAAAGCCCTTACAAAGTGTTCACTCTTATCTCGTACAGCTCAGTGCTGCTAGCCGCGCGATTCATTTGGCCTTTGTGCACTGCGCTCAGCAACTGTGTTTAAAAAAAAAAAAACTGAAAATCCAGTGACTGCACGCGGCACCTTGGGTATTTTGGGGGGCTCTGCCGTCATGACGCTGTTGAGGGCGAACGTGAGGGCGGCGCCCGTGTTGGTGGCGCCGCCCATGAGGCGCAAGCCACCGGCGAGCTTCGCCTCCACTTGCTGCGCCGAGCTGAGCTCCCCGGGCACCACGAGGGTGGAGGGCGTCGCGCCGTAGAGCACCACGCCGAGGCGCGTATGCCCCTCGCCCAGGCTCAAGCGGTGCGCCATGCTCACGATGAAGCGGCCCACGGCCTGCAGCTCGTCCGCCTTGACGGCGCCCGATGCGTCCACCACGAACACGATGCTCGCCGACGACTCTGCAAGGGACGACGGCACGCGTGAGCTCGGCTCGGACTGCGCTTTCAAAAGAGGCGCCGGGAAACATTCGCCGCTGTGCGTCGTTCCAACCCGGCCTGGGCGGTGGAACCTCTCTGAGCCGAACTTGGCAAGTGGAGCACGCGACCGACTTACGCAGTCCCTCAATGGGTTAATTTCATATATTGGTTAAAGGAGATGGACTGATCTCCCCCTACTCCTAGAATAATGCCCGCTTGCAGGCCGATGCTGTGCCAACACCTTGTGCCGCACAAGGATGCGAGGTGCTTTGAGTTGAGGCGTTTAAGCAAGCGCCACTTTAGATGCAACTCCTGAACCGATTAGCACGGTTGGATACGTACGGTGCAAAATAAGTTCAACATACAACATGCACAAGTCTCTCCCGGGTCAAATGAGCATTTTTTGCGGTGGCACTCAGTGGCCCAGAACCAGTGGGGGAAATTCCACTTTCGCTTCGCAGGTGCTGTTTTCCTCGTAGGTTGACTGCTGCAATGGTATAAATGGAATGTTAGGCTGCTCGTTACTAATACACGCATAGAGGACTAGCCCGGTATGACGGTCTCCGCCATGTCATGCGGGTCGTGGGGTTTGTGGGGGGGGGGGGTATTGGTCATACTTTCCCACGCTGGTGAGGGCAGGGTGGCATCTGACTTGACACGGAAGCTGCGCCTGAAGCTAATCACCCGATAAGTAGATGGCATTGCCGGTGAGGCTGGCACTGTCGGACAGCAGAGCCTGGAAGCTGCTCCAGCTGCGCACCAGCGAGCCGGACGTAGCGATGGAACCCAGCGCCGCCGAGTCCTGGTATCCGGCTCCGAACGCCGACACGCGCACGCCCATCGTGCGCAACTGCCCCACTGCCATGGCGACGTCGTCCTCAGACTTTCCTCCCATGATCACGTAAATCATCTGCACGCACGCACGGAGCCACCGCCCGCCCCACAGTAGTGAGCACTGTGTACTCGTTTGAGGCCAATTTTACCGAGCGGAGGCACGGCACCGTTTCAGATAATCGGTCACCGGTGTCGGCGGCTGTGAGCGGGAATTGAACTCGATTCGCCGGGTTCGCGGCGCCGACCGCTACACCGCGGCTCCGCGCCGTGCTCGTTGCACCGCACCGTGCGCACCTGCGGGACTCCCTGCTGGATGCGTGAGCCCTTGTCCGGACGCAGGACGTCGCTGACCAGGAACTGCAGCGCGTGACCCAGGTTGCGAGCGCCACCCGGGTGGCCGAGCCGCTCAATGGCCGCCACGAGATGCGCCTTGTCGCTGAAAGAGTTGAGGGCGACGCTGAGCCTGGGCGCGCCCCCCACCGTCACCACGGCGACACGCGTGGCCTCGGCGCGCACGTCCATGCCGGCCACGATGCGCGCGAGCACCTGGCGCAGCAACGCGAAGTTGGCCGCTGACACGCCTTCCGAGCCGTCCACCACGAACACGAAGTCCGCCTCGCGGTTCCCTGCGGCCGCTGCACTCCCAGACACGGATAGGGAGGCAGCCCGGGCAGCGGTGCACCACTGTCGTCAGCATTGGCCATGATCTATCCACTGTTGGATAAAGGCCTCGTTATCGCAATCTCTTATAATGTAACATTCTGGGTTTCGATTTAAAGCCTTTGTGACTGCAGGGATTCATATTCTTGGTTCTTTCGGTAAAGTCACGTAGAAGGGAAACAATCAAATAATAAAAATATAAAACAATACAATTTTCACGACGTTTTGACTGCAACACAAGCAATCATCATCAGGTGTGAAAACCACAAGAAAATTTGTGGTTTTCACATCTGATGATGATTGCTTGTGTTGCAGTCGAAACGTCGTGAATATTTTTTTTATTGTTTTATATTTTTATTATTTTATTGTTTCCCTTCTACGTGACTTTACCGAAAGAACCAGGAATATTCTGGGTTTCGGCAACCTGTAATTAAACTGTGGTTCGTTTAAATACAAACAGATTTTGAAACGGATGCCAGTTTGGTTAACGAGAACGGTAGACGGTCGGGGGTGAATTGTGATTCTAAAGAAACTACATCCTGGGTAAATAATCAGTTGTCATTTGCTTGGCACTCCGTTGTTAATTTCGACCATTGGCCATCGTCCCTTCCAGTCGATGGTGAGGATCTCGAGCTGGGTAAATGGCAGAGTCTGACTCACCCGAGACGACGACTTTGGGCTGAACGGTGGCGGTTGGGGCGACAGCTGGAACAATAAATACTGTCGTGTGAATCACTGCACTTGTACACGGACACTTCAACAAAGTAGGCACAAGTTCACAGTGAAAATATACAACATTGTCCAGAGGACACGTGTTCATCCCGAGTAATTATGGAGCGGTAAACACCAGTGCAGGCACTCACTTGGCACAGCTGTAGCCACTGTGAAGAAAAAAATAAAATATGTAATTACCAACGTTTCATTAAATAACACAAAACGTTTGTCAACGGACTTCTGCAATGCAGTAAACCAAAAATATTTAACCATCGAGTTAAATAGACATCCGTGTTTTTAGTAGTTCAGTAATCTAAACGGTTTCCTCGTTCATTTAACATTGGTAATTTTTACAGTACAGTACTGGCAACTTGTTAGCCGTGACTGCCACGGGAACGAGAGTGGAGTCAAGGACGTAATGCAAGGGGAAAAGAGAGAGGTACGGGAGAGGGAAGAGAGAGAACGGGGAATAGGAGGAAACGGAGAAAGAGCGGAGGAACGGGAGTGTAGGGTCAGGAGAGATGAGAATGGGGAGGGAGGCTGCATCAAGGCCTCGATGCTGCTGCTGCACGGAGCGGAATCTGTTCTCACAGTGGGCGGGGAGAGGGTTTCAGAGTGGGGATGGCCACGCAGAAGCTGCGTGATGTAAGGGAGGCTTGAGCTGATTTAGAAATATAGGTTGTGTTGCTGTTAATTGATTCTGCTTATGTCTCCACTGATTGCTCCAGGACACCTTTGACACTGAGACGTTTCATTTCACGGCGAGGGCTCTGGTGACCTATGTGCAGAGCGGTTACAGTCGATACTTTTATAACAGGGGGAACTTGAGGTGGAAGACACCAAGTGGGACGGTGGGGAAGGGTGGTGGAGCCTCCTCGAGAAGACAAAACTCGCCACCACGCGTGCGTGGACAAAGTAGGCTATGCAAGGGTTACAGTGTAACTCCGAATTAAATCAACGGAGCACACGACTGTGAGGGCAAGAGTGGTGGCACACAACTTTAATTCAGCACTCTGCTGTCGTGTAGCTCGGTTAGCAGGGCCCCGGGGCAAAGATTGTGAAACTCCCTTCCTGTGCCCTGGCTTGCCAGAAGAAGGCGATTCAGCAAAATGTGGACTTTCATAATAATCTGTCCCTGCTGTACACGATAAGACGATTGTTCCTTCACACGTGTGGGTTTTTTCCGGGTTCTTCCATTCCACATGTATAAACTCTTGTTAATGGCAAACAAAATCTTAATATACAGTGGACCACAGAGCTTGGACAATTAATTGTTGGTAGCATTTGCTACCAACAGGTAAGGCCCACTGAGCTATATAGCTATTTTATCAGAAGCGACCTGGCCACAATTGTTCACTCAGTTAAGTGGCTTATCATGTGAAAATTTATAGCAGCCAATTACTCTACACGCATGTTTCTAAATGTGGAGGGAAAAACTGGAGGACTTGGAGAAAAATCCACACGACCGCGGGGAGAACATGCAAACTCAAAAAATATACAGGTGTCAGGGTTGGGGTCAAACCCACCTCCTCCTGTATACCATGCGAGGTAATTAACATCTCGCCACCGTGGCTGCCTCCCTACTCGTCTGTGGTCCCTCGTGCCTCTGAGTCGTCGTCTCTTGTTGAGAGTGAACAAATACCTTTGGCATTGCAAGTTGGAATTATTATTGTAAAGAGGAGGAAGCTGCAATGGTTTGGTCCCGTCATTCAAGCAACAGAGGGGGATTTTCAACACCACCCTGCAGCAATGGCGGAGTCAGGATTTTCAGGTAGGGGGGGAAACCCCTCCAGCAATGAAAAATGATAGGAGTTGTTAGTAAGTAAGGACTTGTCCCTTGCTTTATATTCGACGCGTGTGCGGCGATGGCGCAGCCATCGATCGAAGGTCGAATTCTAACCGTGTGTGATCGGCATCGCGCTCGCTGAAGGTGAATGCCTTCAGGGAAGTCGTGTACTGTGTAAGCAACTGCGCATAATTCTGAGTCGCTTATAACTTCTTTTCCGTACTTATTGCTAATTATGGACTTAGGCTATTGTCCTATCATCTCATAGAGTCCCTGGGGCATAATAATATGCTACACAGTAGCAGTAGCGGTCGCAAAATTCCGATTTATTACTAATAAACCCAATGATCCGATCGAGGGGGGGGGGGCACGTGCCACTCCACCCCCCCCCCCCCCCCCCCCCCACTGGCTCCACCAGTGCCCTGCAGGGTCCAGTTTAACGGAAACTACAGCCAATTTTATTTAATCCAGTACTGTATTCATTAATGTTTGTGCCCTATCTAATATGTTATGTAATGTGTTTTTTAAATATTCAGTTTTCTTCATTGTTGTACTTGCATGTTATTGCTTTTGTCATTTTGGTGACCCAGGTCCCTCTTTAAAATTAGCCTCTTGAGTTCTCATCCTGTTAAACAAAATAAACTTTGAACGTGAAAAGGGGCTGAGGAAGAGAGGAAGGCCAAGGAGGGGCCGGCTGTGAACCGAGCGTCTTGGACAGGGAGCTCGGCAGCAGATGTTGCACAGATCGCAAAAGTCCTCAACAGGTGGGGAAAGTACATGTCCAAAGCATTCACAGGTGACCCCATGACCCCCACAGGGGACTGATGATGACGCCGTACGGGTTCCCCCTGCATCCCCACTATCGTGTACCACGCACGAGGGGCACCGGAACTAGTTTCGCCACGTGCTCCCGTCCCGCCGCGATCGGTGCCCGCGGGCGGTACGGCGCGCGTGAGACGGAGCGCGAGCGTTACCCGCGACGGGGCAGACGATCCACTTCTTGTCGCTGTCGTAGTTGGCGGTGGTGGAGCACCACCACTTGCCGTCGGTGCGGCCGTCCTGAGTGCAGCCGCTGTAGCTCTGCCCATTGTAGACGAACGGGAAGATGCACGAGGGCTCCTCCAAGTAGCCGCCTGGCGACGGTGCAGGTGGGGACAGTCACGCACACACACGGAGTGTGTAAGGACAGTCACGCACACACACGGAGTGTGTAAGGACAGTCACGCACACACACGGAGTGTGTAAGGACAGTCACGCACACACACGGAGTGTGTAAGGACAGTCACGCACAGATGCACGGATGCCGACATCCCCGCTCAGCCCCGTGCACTCTAACAACACCCTTGTTGTAACTTTACGACTCGTCCCTCCTGGATGTTGTGGAAAAAAGAACTGCATAGCTCAAAGGATTTATCCAGGACAAATAGAGAATCTGTTACTGAGAGCGGGGTGCCCTGCGAGCACCCAGATGGCAGAGGAGACGTAGTTTGTGTGGAGCTGTGTTTTATGAAATACATTGGTAGCTCTGTCACTATGGTATTGTGTTACTATGGTTACTGCGCTAAGATAGTTACTGTGGTTACTGTGTTAATATAGCTAAGGAGTTGCTTTGGTTACTGCGTCACTGGTTACTGCATAACTATAGTTACTGTGTTTTAATTTGGTTCCTTTTTTACTATCACGACCGCGTTACTATGGTTACTGCATTACTACAGTTAGTGCTTTACTATATTTACTGTACTATAGTTACTGCATTATCGCGTTATAGTAACCGTGTTGCTACAGTTACCACATTGCTAAAATTACTGTGTTGCTATTGTCGCTGCATTAGTACGAAGACTTGTCATTATGTTTACTGCATTACGACTGTTTACTACAGTTACCGCAGGTACTTTAGCCATCGCTTTGGTTTACCACGTCCCTACAGGGGTCACCGTGTTACTGCTTCCACGTCCCTACAGGGGTCACCGTGTTACTGCTGCCGCGTCCCTACAGGGGTCACCGTGTTACTGCTGCCGCGTCCCTACAGGGGTCACCGTGTTACTGCTGCCGCGTCCCTACAGGGGTCACCGTGATACTGCTGCCGCGTCCCTACAGGGGTCACCGTGATACTGCTGCCGCGTCCCTACAGGGGTCACCGTGTTACTGCTTCCACGTCCCTACAGGGGTCACCGTGTTACTGCTGCCGCGTCCCTACAGGGGTCACCGTGTTACTGCTGCCGCGTCCCTACAGGGGTCACCGTGTTACTGCTGCCGCGTCCCTACAGGGGTCACCGTGTTACTGCTGCCGCGTCCCTACAGGGGTCACCGTGTTACTGCTGCCACGTCCCTACAGGGGTCATTGTGTACTGCTTCCGCGTCCCTACAGGGGTCACCGTGTTACTGCTGCCGCGTCCCTACAGGGGTCACCGTGTGTACTGCTTCCGCGTGCGCCGTGTTACCCGCGCGGCCGCAGAATCCGTATTTCTTGTCGGTGCGGTAGTTGGGCGTCGTGGCGCACCAGAGGTGCGAGTCGGTGCGCCCCAGCAGCGTGCACTCGTACACCGCCTTGTCGCCGTACAGGAACGGAAACATGCAGGCGGCGCTGCCCCCGTTGCCGCCAGACGTCATCATGGCTGGGGGAGACAAACGCGCCGGGGACATGCAGCACCACCAGCAGCAGCAGGCGTGGCAGCGGCCAGGTGTTAAGATTCTATTTGAATTGGTTACACGGATTTGAGTAAACTAGAATCGGGTTTTAAATGTCAAAACGTAATTTTGGGGCAAGTGCTGTTAGCGATCACCTACGAAGGCCGGCATTGGCACGCGAAGGGGTGGGTGGCCGGCACCACGCTCGGTTGATGTTTACACACTGCATCAGGTACTCTTGTTGAGTCGACCTAGGGGAACTCCATGACCGGTTCAGATAATCGTCACAGGTGTTGACTGTGAGCGGGAATCGAACTCCGGGAGCCGGGTTCGTAGCAGAGTGTGCTAACCACTACGCCACCGCTCCCCTGTAAATCACTGCAGCAGGAAGGGACCGCTCGACCACGCTTGCGAGCACCGCGTGATTACCATTGTTGGAGCAGTAGGCCCATGTCCGGTTTATGTCGTAGTTGTCGGTGGTGGAGCACCACCAGCGACCGTCGTCGCGGCCGGCCTGTGTGCACCCATTGTAGCTCTGCTTCGCGTACACGAAGGGGAAGACGCACCGCGGGGTCGGCCCCGTTGCCCGTGATTCCGAACTGCCCAAGCCAACAATGCCTGCATCAACCCCAGGGGGGGGGGGGGGGGGGGGGCAAAGTGTGAGTGGGTGCCGCCCCGGGGGCAAAGTGTGAGTGGGTGCCGCGCCGGGGGCAAAGTGTGAGTGGGCGCCGCCCCGGCGTACATTACCAGCTGTTGTGCAGAAGCCGTATTTTTTGTCGGTGTCGTAGTTGCCAGTGTGGGCGCACCACCAGCGCCCATCAGTTCGCCCGTCCAGCGTGCACGTTTTGTACGTTTTTCCATTGTAGATGAACGGGAACACGCACGCCGTTCCTCCGCCGTGCCCCATGATTGTTGGCAGAGCTGTTGAATGATCGAATATTAACCAATGAATGCAATGGATTCACTGGTCACCAACAACGGAGTTTGAGTGAAGGGACTCCAAATGCGAGCAGCTGGCAACTGACTTCAGGACATGATGGCTTTGTGCCATCACAGCAGCAGGTGTCCGAGACTGGGGGTATCATTGCATTGTGCAGTTGGAGATGCAAACAGGCGAGTGGCCCTGGCTCCAAAGTGACAAGCGCTGTCTCCCCCCCGCACCGTGTATCGGCCTGTGGAGCTAGCCACAAGACCCCCGAGCTGAGCCGATGACTGTCAGCATCTCCCTCAAACCAGAGGCACGGGAGAGGGATGAGAATCGTCGGGTTTCCCAAGGTCGGCGAGATTGGTTAGATCAGAGGCCGTCTCTTTAAGACCATCACGTGGTGTCATTTCTAAAATATAACTAATGGTGTTAAGCTAACTTAAATCCAAATCAAATTAAAATTAACTTAACCAGCCGGCTACTTGTGTAGGCCATCAGGCCTATGCTCCCGGCACGTTTGCTAAAACATAAACACCGCCACGGTGTACGCAGCCACGCTGGAGGAGAATTGATCACGTCGTTGGCCAACATTGCCCGGGTCATTTGTAGACCGCAGTTAGGGTAGCACGTGATTAGTCGCCACAGTTAACAGTGGATGTGGTGTGGTGGCGGGTCCCGCCTGGCGCGCCAATTACTGTTGAAGGAGCAGAAGCCAAAGTAGCCGTCGGTGTTGTAGTTGCCCGTGGTGGCGCACCACCAGCGGTTATCGCTGCGCCCGTCCAGCGTGCACGAGTCGTACTTGCGTCCGCCGTAAATGTAGGGGAACACGCATGGTGCGCCGCCCGTTTCCCCACCTACGGGAACCGGGGCACGACGTGGTCAGCGGAGATGCACGCACAGCAGCACCGCCGCCGCCGCCGCCCATGGACGAAGTCGAACGGCCACGCTCGCAAGTCAGTGGTTGGGCCCTCTTGTTGTGATGACCGGCGGGAAGAGCTAGTCACGTCACCATCACCAGCAAGGGAGAAGGTTACCGAGAAAGGAATGCGGCTCGAAGCATGGGGCGGATCTCACATCTGGTGGTTGTACCGACCCAGTGGTGAAAATTCCACATTCCCATGCTGGGGGACAGTATATCCAAAATACAACTTGATGAGGGGCCGAGTTAACCCTCTACTAGGACTTAAACTTTCAACCTGAAGTTGAGTGCTCAACCACAATGTCCACCGAGCTAATGCCACATTCGCCCTCAACACTGCCTCACACTCACAATATAACTGACTGGCTTTGGGGACGATTAACAGATCTTGGGACATGATCTGAACAGCACGGTGCCTCTTTGTGGCGACAGGGTTAAGGAAACCGAAGAGATACGGCACACTGACCTTGAAAGATGGCGCGATGAAAGAGGATGGCAAGAGCTTTGATAGCACACGAAGGCGATTGCTCAGAGAGTACTGCTTTCTTGAGGGTGACCAAAATTGAATGGCCGCATTGTGTGAGCGTATCATCAAGTTAATCGTGTGGTCAAGAAGCCAGCATGGGTTATTTTCAAACAAGTCCTATGTTCATAATATAGGTTTTTGTGGGTTAGATCGCGTAAATATAAATGTGTTGTAAATATAAATGTGCCGACACAGCCGTAAAAACGTTTCTAATTGGCTGTGTCGGGTGGTGGCGGGTTTAACGACACATTTATATTTACGCGATCTAACCCAAAAAAACCTATTATGGATATTGGTCGCAAAAGCCAACATGTTAACGTCCTATGTTGGTCATCAGGTTGTCATTTCCAGGACGGGGATGGTAGGCGATGTGTAATGTACGAGCCAGTAAGTGAATGTACAGCCGCGAATGCATTCACTCACGAGAACTCAGCAGGGCTTGGGAGGCAAAAACTAAAACGAGAAACGGAATCCACACGGGGCCACAGCGAAGGGGTATTGTGGAGAGAAATGGAATCTGAGTAAGCAGGCAGTGGTCACGTGTGGTATGTAGAAGAGATTCGATGAGAAAGATATGGGTGAAATAGCATCAATTTTTGTCCATTGGGAGCGGTTAGAATGAGTACTTAAGTCATGAGCCACAAAGGCAGCGTCAACATGCACGCGAGGATAATGCTGATGATTAAACTTGAAACCCGTACAGGAAATATCTCAACCGGCATAAATGGTTTAGGAAGACGCCCGACCTCCAGGAGTGGCTTTACCTTTGTGTCGTTTCGACAGCATGTGGGACAATTTACCACCCTCTCGCAGCTCGACCTCATTCTCCTGATGAGGCACACACACACAAGACAAAGATCGCCCCCTATAACCTTAAACAACTATTGGGGAAAGTGCTGTTAGCGAGCACGGATCAAAGCTGGCACGATATACAAGGGTGTTGGTAACCAGCACCACGCCCAACCGCCTTTATCTCCCCAATGGCGATGTTTACACCGCACCAGGTACTCATTTAGGGCTGAGTCGACATAGGGGAGGCCGAGGACCGGTTCAGGTAATTGTCACCTGGTGTTGGCTGTGAGCGGGAATCGAATTCGGGTTACTGGGTTCTTAGCACAGCGCGCTAACCAGGTGCATGGGTACCTGTTGTACCCGTCCATCCGTGTACCCGTGTACCTGATGTGCCTGTGTACCTGATGTACCCGTGTACCTGATATACCCGTGTACCTGATGTAACATTGTACCTGATGTACCCGTGCACCTGATGTACCCGTGTACCTGATGTACAATTGTACCTGATGTAACATTGTACCTGATGTAACATTGTACCTGATGTACCCGTGTACCTGATGTACCCGTGTACTTGATGTACCTGTGTACCTGATGTACCCGTGTACCTGATGTACCCGTGTACCTGATGTACCATTGTACCTGATGTACCCGTGTACCTGATGTACCTGATGTACCCGTGTACCTGATATACCATTGTACCTGATGTACCATTGTACCTGATGTAACATTGTACCTGATGTACCCGTGTACCTGATGTACCATTGTACCTGATGTACCCGTGTACCTGATGTACCCGTGTACCTGATGTACCATTGTACCTGATGTACCCGTGTACCTGATGTACCATTGTACCTGATGTACCCGTGTACCTGATGTACCTGATGTACCCGTGTACCTGATATACCATTGTACCTGATGTACCATTGTACCTGATGTAACATTGTACCTGATGTAACATTGTACCTGATGTACCCGTGTACCTGTACCTGATGTACCCGTGTACCTGATATACCATTGTACCTGATGGACCATTGTACCTGATGTACCACTGTACCTGATGTACCCGTGTACCTGATGTACCTGTGTACCTGATGTACCCGTGTACCTAATGCACCCGTGTACTTGTGTACCTCTCTGAAGGGACTAGCAGATCCCAGACGTGTGTTCACCACCACCCCAGCCACCCACACGAGCAGCAGCCACAGCAGCATCGTCACTCCACAACCCTTCTGCGTCTAGGTGCCCGTCCTCAACTCTCTACACTTGACACATTGTGTTATATATACACACGCTCGCACACACACACACGTGTGTGCGTGTGCGTGTGTACGAGTGTGTGCGTGTAGCAAACTGATCATTATTATGAACAGACGCGCAAAACCGCTGTAGTCAACGGAATAGTGATGTGTGCTGACTGTTTAATGGTCGCCCCAGCTATAAGATGTAAATAAGGCTGCCCTCCTCACTTGAGTCGATTCCCGGGAGGTAATTTCGCCCATTTACACGAGCCCAGAGCCCAGTGAGTGTCTGTTTCTTGAATGAGTCCGATTTGGGGTGAATCTCAGTAAAAGAAAAACCACCGCCATGTCATGACACCAACCAGCTGCTTTGAGAGCTTGGAAAGTTCACGCGCCCGATAAAGGTTCACTTGCTCCACACGTGGTCCTGTCATTGCAGGCAAAGCTCCGCTTAACAACCAAGGAGTGCGGTGGCTTCACTTCCACGGGACACAATCGTCAGGTTAGAGCAGTAGCGCAATGCTTATTCTTTCCTGGACATGGCCCAACATCAGTGGTGAGTGATATAGGGACCGGCCCTTGCCGGGCGGTGGTAACGATGCTACAGGTGCCCTGTAACCCAACACCGTTGTGGTAGCAGCCAGGGTTGGTGGATCACTACACACATGTTGTGAAACTCTTCCCGTGGGCGTCGGGGAGATTGACGTACCCTGGGTCGCCAGAATAATTCGGTACAGCAAGTGTTGACCCCACCTGTTCAGTTTGTATGGGATAGAGCGGTGTATGGGATAGAGTGACGAGATAGCGTTGCCCTCCTCGCACCTATGGGTTTTCTCCACGTGCTCCGGGTTTTCCTTCCACGTGTATTAACACTCATATTAATATATAAGAGGACTACCGAGCTTGGGCAATTGTTGGTACAGTAGCAGTGGCTCATCGCCTTTGCCACTGGTCTGTGGTTCCTTCTCGATTCCCCGAGTCGTTCTGTCCCTTTTTGAGAAGGAAGCGAATACCGCGTGGCACGTTGTGAGTAGAGATTATTAACTTATTATTTAACCGTGTATTGTTTAACCCTCCACAAGATCTTTCATTGACTTTAATTGTTAAGTTGAGGCAGAAATTACATGTAATCGCCTATTATTATGAATAATCGCCTATGTTGATACTTTTTACCACATGTGATTGCCAGACAAAATATAACGCTTGTGGGTGCAGATTAATTTTCCAGGGCTTCCATGCCTCGCGGCAATTCAATGTTATAGTTGTTGCGCCAGGTGCAGAGATGGAACTGTTGGGTGAAGTTCATTAATTTTAACGGGCTTGCAAGCTGGATAACAAGATGATTTATCGTAATTTGTCAATCTTATGCAAGAAATTCTCCCCATGCCATGTAGGTCATTTTTTTTACCATACTTCACCGTGCTGGTGCAAAGACCAGTTCGGATATCGCTCTGCATTAACATTAATAATGAATGTATTAATAAATTACTTTATTAAATTTAGGGCTCTTTATAAAGATTACAGGTGTAATCTTTGAACATTCATCAATGATGTTTTGTTTCAACTCAGTATATTTTGAGAATAGGGTTTTTCCCCTTTTTTCTGGCAACAAAACTGAAACCTTTTTACGAGGATTCATGTCTGCATTAACCACAATACCTGCAGTCAAAATGCAAAAAAACCCACTATGATAATATATGCATTGTCCTTGAAACTGATTGGTCCACACCAAGGGATGGCTTTCTTTTGAGCCTCGACCCAATTGGTGCTCGACCAGATGACGCTACTGGCAAAGGAGGTCTAATCAGTATATTTTCTTTCCATTTAGAAATTTCATCTGAGAATGTGGAAGAAAAGTAAATATTAATAAATTTAGATTTAAAGCTTTCGTGACTGCAGGGATTCATATTCTTGGCTCTTTCGGTAAAGTCACGTAGAAGGGAAACATAAGGGAAACAAAGTAGATACACCCCTTCGTCCCTTCGTCTCTACTATCAACTCCACCACCTGCAAATTGGCTCGTTTTCTGTCTGAAATCCTGCGGCCTTTCACTGGAAAAAACACCTCTGCGGTACAAAATTCTAATCACCTGGTATCGACAATCAAGGGTATTTCCCTGTCCCCAGACGACCTGCTTGTCAGTTTTGATGTAGTTTCCTTACTCACCAAAGTTCCTGTACCTGACACCATCGCAATCATTGAAGACTTGGTTCATCAAGGACTAAACACTGAGGTACCCCCCCCCCCCCCTGGTGAGACACTGCTTAACCAATACATACTTCACTTGGAATGGAACTTTCTACAAACAAACTGAGGGCACCCCAATGGGCTCTCCCCTATCTCCGGTTGTAGCCAACATTTTCATGGAGAAATTTGAGACTGACGCCATCCAGACTGCCACTGTGCACCCAACCTTGTGGAAGAGGTACGTGGATGACACTTGTCATCTGGCCACATGGCCGGCCTGCTCTAGACCAATTTTTCGACCACATCAATTCCATACGCCCAGCCATCAGATTTACCATGGAAGTCGAAAAAGATGGCAAGCTACCTTTTTTGGATGTCCTAATAAAAAAGAGACCTGATGGTTCAATGAGCCACTCTGTCTACATGAAAGCAACCCATACGGATGCTTACCTGAAACCGGATTCCCACCACCATCCATCCCAGAAGAATTCCTTCATCAAGACTCTGCACCATAGAGCCCAATGCATATCCGACCAGGAACACATAGCCAGTGAACTCAAGCACGTACACCAAGCTATAAAGGCTAATGGTTACTCCGACTACACAATCCGCAAAGCTATCACTCCAACCATGAAGAGGGACCCTCTTGAGGAGCCTTTCAAAACCATCACTTTACCCTACATTGCGGGGATCACAAAAAAGAGCTCCAAAATCTTGAATAAACACAAGATCCAGGTCCGATTCAACACATTACATAAAATCCGTGATCTGGTTCCGTCTGTAAAAGATGTGATTCCGGACATACAGTACCCTGGTGTCTACAAACTAAGTTGCCTCTGTGGTAGTAGTTACATTGGAGAAACCAAATGCCATGTCTCGGACCGCATTCGTGAACACAAAGCAGACCTAAAACACGGTAGGACCAACACCTCTGCCGTGGCAGATCACTGTTATAATTCAGTAGGCTCACATGACATTGACTTCGCCAAGGCAGAGGTTCTTTGCAAGCCATCTGGCTACCATGAGAGATGCGTTCATGAGACTTTCCACATATACAAACACAGAGACAATTTCAACAGAAGATGGCTTCTGGCTTAGCAATCATTGGAAGGATTTGATAAACCATTTCGGGTCTTGATTGTTCACGCTTACGGTGGCTTTCAGACCGCATCCATTATTTTCGCCTCCCCCCTCCTCTTTTCCGAACATAGATGGACTCGTCCATCTGAATAACTGCCAAATCGCTCTCCGTGTTGCTAACGTTAAAAATAACCGCCACTTTTATCAAATTTTCTTGCTGTGGTTTTCACACCCGATGATGATTGCTTGTGTTGCAGTCGAAACGTCGTGAGAATTTTATTGTTTTATATTTTTATTATTTTATTGTTTCCCTTCTACGTGACTTTACCGAAAGAACCAAGAATATAAATAATAATAGAGAAAATATTGACTTAAAGAATTAAAATATTTTAATCAGTGTTAAAACAAATATAATAACCCTATGTGCCCTGACTTTTGGGCCACCCTATATATTTATGGAACATATGCCAATTTTTGCATTTGAATAACGCAAATAAGGCCACACATGGACGACACACGCAGCTGGTTTTAGCGTGTTGCTGCTGACAATGCTCTTTGAGTCAGCGGGGCTCTTGACATCTGGAAATTGCCACGTGGCACGCCCTTAACTCCTGCACCAGACTAGAGTGGAAAATGGGATTGTTTGACTCAATAATCACTAAAAACAATAATGTACTGCATTGAGTTTTTACGATTTGGAGTCTGCCTTATTGTGAGCCCCACGATGGCCAGAGTTTTGGTCAAGAAATCAAGTCAAAGGTCACAGTGGTGTCCTGCTGCATTGGTACTCATCTGCTGTTTACAACCCTGCAGAGCTGGTGGTGGATTTTCCACATTCCTATGGCAGGGCGAGTCTATCCATGGGGCAGCCACTGTTGGCTTCCCCATAAAGTGGTACTCATTTAACCGACTCGAGAGATGATGGACTGTTCATATAAATAGTTATAGCGTCTACACGCGACTGCATCTTAAGAAGTAAAAATAGGCATATAGTTTACACATACAGTATTGTGTTGTGTATTTTATTTGAAGATACAATCATATGCAGCGTTGAAGGTCTTGAGCCAAACAGGGGAAGAGAGATGCGAGAGCACGGACGACTGGGGGGAAGGGAAAATAAACCATCCCATCCATCATCCCAAACACCAGAGCACAGTCTTTTGTCTGTTCTGCACCAGTGCTTTCCATCCCATTCTATAAAGTACTATTCTGACGATATGTAGTCGAGTAACACGCGGTACAGAGAACAGCGTTAAACAAGTGTCAACGCAGCGGCGTCCTCGCTCCGACTCGCTGGGTAACATCTCTCACTGACGTCGGAGGGGGCGGGCGCCAGGCCCCTCTCCTGCAGGCAGCGGCGTTGCCCTCAGCAGAACAGAGACAGCCTCCGTTGCGTCACCGCTCCTCAGGGACAGCGACACGGACGCGGACGCTGGCGCCCACGGCTGCAACACAACGCCCCGTTTTTTTTTGACACGTGTGCTGTACTAGTGTAGCGACGTTAATGGAGTCACTACGGCGTTTAGCGCCAGCTACTGATGAGAAAGTGGAGCTGCAAGTGTTAAAGCTTCTCGCTGGCACCAGGGTATGTTAAGGGGGCCCTCGGGGGCTTAGTTCCGGTGGACGTGAGAAGGGGGGTAGAGAGGATGTGACAGGTGGTTGAACCCGAGAGGGACAGGTGGCGTGGATCGAGAACCTTCTAGGAAGATCGAGAAGGAGGCGGGGCCAAGGGCGGGGGAGGTCACACTCAGAGGATAAGAAGGGGGCCCTGAGAGCCGAGAGGGGCCGTCTACAGGAATGGGACCTGCCGTGCTACACTTCTCCGCTCTTCAATCTTGGGTCTTCGCTCGTCACGTTCAGCATCGTTGTGGTCTCGTACCCTGTTGTAATAGAGTTACCCCGTTGTAGTCTAGTTACCCCGTTAGGGTCTAGTTTAACCCGTTGTGGTTTATGTAAGTCGAGAAATAAACGTGTTGCCTCCCCGTGAAGTGTCTGCTTCCTGTGAAACCACTACACTAGAATCGAATTGGCATGTTCTGTTTACATGACAAACCTTACTAATTGGCTGTGTCGGGTGGTGGCGGGTTTAACGACATTTATATATTTACGCGCTCTAACCCAAAAAACTTGTATTATGGATGATATTGGTAGCGAAAGCCTAAGTGTTAAGGCAAATAATATGCGTACACTCTTCATAATTGACTCAATTCCTGCACTTATAATTCGATGCGTATATCACGAGCGTAAGAATCTATTTGAATTGTGCACTGTTAAGTGCGTGACATCCACAGTGGGTGGGTGCGTGCATTTGTGTACGCCGAGGGCGGTATTTGGTTATCGCGGTAGCACCGGTGGTGAACTCACGTCTTGTCCGTCCACTGGGCTCCAGGTCACGCGCACGCTCTTCTTGTGCCCCGCCTCCACGGTGCCTCGCACGGGCTCCACCGTGAAGCCCTTGGCACGGGCCTCGGCGATGTCAAAAATAAACTCTCCGCCCTGACAAAGAAACCATGCTAAGAACATAATCGTACGTATTCGTGTCCATCATCATCACGGTTCATGGGCAGATAGCCTATAGGTGTCCACTGCAGATTTCGTCATTTGTTTCCACAGCAACAAGGAGGGCCTGATCAGTTGATTGATAGTTTGTCATACTTCATCATGCTGGTCAGCGTGGTTTGGGTGAATATGGGCTGCATAGACATGGGAGCATAGGAGTACAGCACAGTAATGTTTTTTTGCTGCATTGCCCACCACCCGCAATATATTTAATGAAAATGTGTCAGGGTGAGTATTCCTGCCACTTGTTATATAGAGCAACATGTAGAGGATAGAACGAGTTGGCCACCTTTCTGCTGCTAGGCTGTACAGGGCGCACGCAGCCCACGAAGAGCTCTCGAGTGACCGGGCTGAAGCCGTCGTCCGTCTGGGTGCTCCTCATCGTCAACAGGAACGGCTTCACAGCCGCCACTACATCTACGCGGGCAGCACCGACGTGGTGGTAGTGAGTACAGCGGTCCGCTCGGTATGTGAGCATCTGGCACGCCAGGGATTGTCAAATTCCAGTCCTCACGCCCCACCATGGTGCTGCACCTTATCACGCACATCAATCTCCGCTGCGAAAGAAGTTCAACATACAAGTGTTTACGCGTTACACGCACCCGACACTTGGTAAATATGAACCATGATAGGGGGCAAGGGCTTTGGTTTGACGAGCCTCACGTCACACAGAAACTTCAGATGCAGTCCCAGTTGGATGCTGCAGTGTATCGCTGCAAGTTGTAATGCATGGTACGATGACCTTGTAATAACGCCGAATAGCAGCAAGTAAAATCAAATTACAGGCCAGATTCACACACTGAAGAAATGGCCAAGTACCACCTTGGCCAAAAGCCCCATTGTTGGTGATAAATACGGAATGTTTTTGCAAATAATTGACTGAAAAGGATTTCCCAATACATGAACTGGGCTAATGAATCAAGCCTATAAATAGGTGGTCTAAGTATTGAACGAGGATAATAAAGGACTGTGGAGTGGACGTGGAAATGTCTCAGGATAGGAATGAGTCGAGGACGAGGAGGGCAGATCTCAAATGAGAGGGAAAATGCCAGGCAGAAAAATTGGGCCTTGTCTAAAATAAATGCACTCCATACCTGAGGACCCATCATCTTCCCAGACGGGCAGGGGGGCCAGGGATTCCACTGCAACGTCCAGAGGGTCTCCGCCCTCCAGATACAACATGCGCTTCACTGCACAGCCCTTCAGCTCTATCACACGAAACTCCTAGCAACAAACACGCGGGCACATTCATACATACAGCCTCGTTACACAGACTCACTGTAGTGTTTTGTCCCGTAGCGGACAGTCAAGATGTGAATCGTCACAAGAACGTGTGAATCTAGAATGGCTCATACTGCTCACAGAACAAAAGCTCTTTGCAGCGTAGTTAGTGCTACTGGGGACAACACATCTCTCTGTGCCATGTACTTTCTCAAAGATGTCTGTGATCTTGGACTTCTGTTTATGCCCAGTCCATGACTTTACTCAATAACTTTGCATTAGACGCTTCCGGTTGCATCTAATTGTTCAGTATTTATAGAAAATCTTGTCATTTCTTGCATTATATTCAGTTTTCCATGTAGATTCGAGTTCTTACACTCAAAGTTGCTATCCGTCTTATGTTCGATCGTCCCCCATGGCTGAGTGGCAGCAGTACAGCGTGAGAGGCACACCTTGCCAAAGAGGAGGAGACGGAGACGGTCGGAGTAGCGAGCGCTGGCGTGGTCTGGGCTGAAGGTGACCAGCAGTTCTGTGTCTCCGCCCACTGGGATGATGCCCTGCACTGGCTGCACGCTGAAGACACTGAGCCCACTATGGTTCTGCGTACCTGGATCGTGGGGAAGCAATGTCACAGAGCAGTTGGCACAGTCTGGAGTGAACGCTGGGTATCTCACCTGCTGTAACATTGAACTTACTAGCACGCAGAGTTAGAGACACTGAATAGCAGAGGTAAACAATGCGATGTGCATGATGTTAAACAATTTACAAAGTTAAGAGCATGTAATTACCAAGAGCTGAGGTGTATTCAGAATTAATATGCCAATTCACCTTATAAAGGCAAAGCAAGTGTCCAGAAAATGAGTGAACACCATCTAAGACACGAGTTTATATAATGTTAAAAACACAAGATAATGTGATTGGTATATTTGTTGTGACCCATAAGTGAATAGATTAGGTGCACGATCTTGATCGACGAAGGCTGTGGAGCGATGGAACTGGCTCTCGTGTAGGTCCTGGATGGATTGTTGCTGCATCGCAAGGCCTTCATCTAGCAGTGGATAAATCACGATCATGACTGATGATGATGGTTATGGTTACTGTAATGTGAGCTGGCTTTCATTTAACTCAAATCCATTTAAAAGTCGGCCAATTAAAGCCAGGCGTGAATGCTGCCGTGAACATGGTTCGTGTTCTGGGCCGGGCGTGAGTGCAAGCGAGAGCTCTTGGACTTGCCCACTGATGAGCTGCTGCTACCCCCAGAGGGAGGGAGGATTGGTAGCGAGGAATGGAGTCCGGGAGATTCGCTGTCCAGCGTCAGCAGGAATGACACTGGCACCGAGGAGTCGTTATGAAGCTGTGGAGAACGGCACAGCTTTCATCGTCGTTATACAAACCACATAGATATGTACGAATCGTACTGTACAATACTAGCTAATCACTCAGTTGTTTCAATGCTGGATTCGCCTAGTTATTTCAATGCTAAATTCTCCTGTTTGATTTGTACTAAGGGCCTCGGTGAATGTGTATGCTCTGACTTTAACGTAGCTATTTCTGCTGCAGGTACAAGCTCTATTTCTGCAGCAGGTACAAGCTAATCACTCAGCTATCTCAATGCTAAATTCTATGCTAATTCCATTGTCAAGGGGTGCCTCTGCGGATGTGTATGCCTTAACTTAGCTATTTCAATGCTAAATTCTATGCTAATTCCTTTAACAATGGGTGCCTCTGCGGGTGTGTATGCTTTAACTTTTAACATAGCTATTTCTGTGACCAGTCACAAGCTAATCATTCAGCCATTTCAATGCTAAATTATATGCTAATTCCTTTGTCAAGGCGCTTTGTTCCTCTCACACAGCTTAAAGGCCGTATCTGAACGTGGCTCTTTCACTCCAGCGCTGTCCTACCAGACAGTCTCACCCCCTTCACCTGATGAAGGCCGCTTGTGTTGTGGCCGAAACGTCGTGAGAATATTATTGTGTTATTTTATTTTATCAATTTATTATTTTATTATCATTCTCCGTGACTTTACCGAAAGAACCAAAGAAGATGTACAATACTATTCTATGCTTCACACCATATACACTTAGTTTTGGTCATGCGCAACACTGTACATACAAAAACTGACCAAAAAGATCAAACTTTGAGTGGTGTTAACCTGACCCCAGCATCCATGGTGTAATTTAAAGCACACGGACATAAACATGTAAAACTATCTAATAAACAATTTTTTTACATACTGTGGTACCCATTATGCCAAGCTACTCAGAGCGCTTATGGAGGATACTCATTAGGTTAGATGTTACTTTTATAACAAGTGTGCAGTCTACGAAAATGAATTTGTTTGAATGTGAATATCATTAAAACTTCATAAGCCATTTAAATGGCCACATTTGGAGAACCACTCATAATAGCCTGATTGTTCTTACTGAATGCTCATCATGGATTGATGGCTTTTATACTAAACTTTCAAGGAATTGCATTCGCTTAAAATAACCCAATAGACTTCTGTAGTATTGGATGATTGTGAAAGTACGGGAACAACAAGGGGCAGTGATGCGTGTGCCCTGGGTTGAGGTCGCCAACCTTGAAGCCGGCGCTAGCAGTGCTGCACGATAGCACCGGGCCCAGGCTCAGGCAAGGCTCCTCCACGGAGCAGGTGACCAGCGGGAGCTGGGCCCGCCCCACCAGCGTGAGGGTGAGCACCGCACCACCGGCCTGCACCTCCAGCCGCTCGTGGAACTGTGCGCGCGTTCACAGAAAAGACAAAGATCCCCTGTGTAGGTAGCTTTTTAACACACTGCTGGGCGAAGTGCTGTTAGTGAGCACCTATTAAGGCCGGCATGGAGGAGATGGCGAGGCCAGAACCATGGCCAGCCATCTCTGTCTCCACAGTGCTGATGTTTACAATATTGCACCAGATACTCATTTAAGGTTGAGTCGACCTAGAGGAGGCCAAGTACTATTACCGTTATACACCACTGATATTAACTGTGGCCAAGAATTGATCACACTTTGGTACGTTCGTGGCATGGCGCGCTAACTACTCCCCCACCGCTCACACCATGCAAAACATATCCACTTACATATAATGTACAAAATCTAAACCTATGTAGCCTTTTAGACGATTGAGTCATGTGCAATTATTAAGCACATGCACATTTTGGTGGCTTGTATAAAGACACAAAGGTACCTTTAAAGATGCTATATGAATCCAAATAGTATGCTGTATTGTAAAAATGTATCGTGTTGCAGAGAGCGTAGTATGGTGCTGGAGGCTCCGAGCAAGTGGTGGAGTCTTCCCTACCCACATAGCTCCGGTTGACTTCCATCAAGGTTAAACCAGCAATTGTCAACATTGCAACCAATTTCCATGTAGGTTAGTTGCAGTCGAATTAAATGGCAGATGAGTACATTTGTGGTGAAAGGGTATGTGGCCAATGTATAAAATTAGGCCAAGGGTCGAGAGGAAAGTCAGGTGTAGCTGTGCCCCCGCACCTCTGATTATCACGGTTGGCTACATACAGTGTGAAAGAAGTTCAACGTACATGCTAAGGGCCGTCTGGGGGGCTGCAGCAGAATGCCACATGGGGGCCCAATTATTCAGGAATCACAAAACACAGGCCTGTTAATGGGGGCCTCTTTTGTATGTGGCCCAGGTTAAATGACCTGTTGTGCATCCCTCCGCCCCCCACCACTCGCCTCTTGAATGCCCGTGAGTACCTGTTGCTGCTGCAGGGCGGCGAAGGCGAGCACCAGCGTGTGCGTGCAGCCGGGCGAGATGGGACGCAGGGCGTTGAGCAGCGTGAACGGCCCCAGCGGGTCCAGCAAAGAGCACGTGGGCTTGGGCACAGCTGCGTTAAGGGACCGACTCCCGTCGCCGAGCATTGTCATAAAATCACCCCTGCACCAACGGTGAGGGCTGCGGTGAAGCTCGGGGAAGGGGCCCGGCAGGGCACGTCAAATAGGACAAGGCGGGCTGTTAAATGGACCAGTTTAACGCCAGTAATTGTGTAACCACCGCTTAATGTAAGGATCCCTTTGGATTGCACCGCTGCCTTTGGTCTTGAGCAGCTGTAATTAAACAAACTCCCACACATTGCTTTATGAAAAAAAACAATCCATTGATTCTTGACTTAAAGCTTTTGTGACTGCAGGAATTAATATTCTTTGGTTCTTTCGGTAAAGTCACATAGATAGAAAATATTAAAAGGTAAAAAACCACGACGTTTTGATCGCAACACAAGCGATCGTCCTCAGGTGAACAAATACAGCTGGTGGACCGTTGAGAGAAATATAGTCTCTCACTTCTCTGAAGAGATGCCGCGACACCAAGGTAATACCGATCGCTTTATTTTTGTTTGCATTCTGACCGCAAGTATTGTGGTTAATACAGACATAATTAGCCAAGGTATTCCTAGCTCTGCGTTCTTGCATTTACTTGCCAATTCCATCTCTAGCCCCGCCTACTCCAAGCGTATATAACCTTTGGTTGCAGTGGCTCTGCATCTGGCTCGAGCAGCCCTCTCGCTATATTTCTCTCAACGGTCCGCCAGCTGTATTTGTTCACCTGAGGACGATTGCTTGTGTTGCGATAGAAACGTCGTGGTTTTTTACCTTTCATTATTTTCTATCTACGTGACTTTACCGAAAGAACCAAAGAATATCAATCCATTGATGTGAACCAGACAGAAATGTCTTCGCTATTTTGCTGTTGACTTGAACATGTGAGGAATACAATTTGGGAAGAGATGTCTTCATGTCAAGTTTACTCAACAATACATTGATTCTAAAGTGCCAGTGTGTGGTGTGAAAATGTCATGATGCTCAGTACTCAATCAATCTGCCTGCTTTGCCCCAACTCCGTTGATTTTTTTTGTCCATTCTCATTTCCCACTATCGCACTGTTAATTGTGTAATTATTCTGTGCGGGACAACACTTTAGAGCTGCAGTCACATTCAAGCACTTGATACAAATTCTAAATCCCAATAATGATGATCATAGTAATAATGTCATTTATCCAGCCATACCTGAGCGTGTCTTGAGACATATTTTTTTAGGAAAATGCTGCATTTCAATGTTTGGCCAGGTCTTTTTTAAGGCAGGGTTTGCATTGTGAGAGGCATGTGAAGTTTCCAGAGAAAACCCACGTACACACAAAAAAATAACATTTAAAAGCCCGCACATGGGTTTGCGAACCCACCTGCTATACTGCCATCTTCTAGCCACCTTGCGGCCCAGTGGCTTACGGAGTTTGGCAAGTCTATGCTATTCACCAGTTCTTACCTCCAAAGTGTTGGATTTACAGGTGTGTGCTACCATGTTTTACACGTTTAATACCAAACAACGTTTACCACAATACTGGTCACAGCTTAATACTATGTGGTTAACCTCACCAAGGAGCTTGCTGACTCGCTTTTAAGGATACCTTCAGATGCTGGTGAGAAATGTTCTCTACTGTGATACGCTTCGTCACCGTCTGACCTGCAGCAGAAGCAGCAGCAACAAGCAAACCTCACGATCATGGGGAGGGCAAGGCTATAACCTCCATCACTGTGATACTTATATAGCCCACGCAATACAACATCTACAGGAACTCTATACAATCGCATGCATGGGAGTTCTCCAAATGCTCTGGTTTCCACATTTATAAACACTCATTACTTGGCTGAAATCATTTTAATATATAGAGGAGCGCAGAGCTTGGGCAATTATTGGTGCCGGCTCAACGCCTGGTTGCCTTGCTACTTGGCTGTAGTTGAAGCAATGTTTGTACTGCCATGCAATGCCCTATTTACACGAAGGATTTTTTTTCTTTTCCAGGCATCATGTCAGAAGTACATTTAGACCAGGGGTCGGGAACCTATGGCTCGCGAGCCAGATGTGGCTCTTTTGATGATTGCATATGGCTCGCAGATAAAACAAAATATTCTCACTTGTTTTAATCCATCCATCGATTTTTCACTGCGCATGTCCTGTTCAGGGCTGCAGGAGCAATTGTCCATTATTTTAATTGGATGATACTGGCCTACGTTTGCCGTTGCTGGGTAAAACAGGTAAACGCCCCCTTTTGAATCAGTCTGAGACTGCGTCTGCTCGGTCATTAGCTCAAAGCTAACCCTTCGACGAAGAAGATGGCGAAAAGAAAAAAAGACGACGAGTATCGTACATTTCAGGACGAATGGACCGAAGAATTCGCCTTTGTGGAGAGAGCGGGTTCTGCGGTGTGTCTAATTTGCAATGACAAAATTACATCGTTGAAACGGTCGAATGTAAAGCGGCACTTCGACACGCGCCACGCTACCTTTGCATCAAAATACCCTGCGGGAGACAGCAGAAAGAAAGCGTGCCAAGAGCTTCTGAGCAGGGTGCAAGCTAGCCAGCAGCAACTCCGCGTATGGACCCGGCAAGGTGACTATAATTCGGCTAGCTTTGCTGGTTCTTTAGCAATAGTGAGGAATGGAAAACCATTCACAGATGGCGAGTATGCTAAAACGTTCATGCTGGATGTAGCCAATGAACTTTTTGATGATCTTCCGAACAAAGACAAGATAATCAAACGGATACAAGACATGCCTCTGTCGGCAAGAACTGTTCATGATCGTACCATCGTGATGGCAAACAAAGTGGAGGAAACGCAAGTGAAGGACATAAATGCAGCGCCGTTCTTTTCTCTGGCTTTGGATGAGTCAACAGACGTGAGCCATTTGTCGCAGTTCAGCGTGATTGCAAGATATGCTGTTGGTGACACACTGCGCGAAGAAAGTCTTGCTGTTCTGCCATTAAAAGGGTCCACAAGAGGTGAGGATTTATTCAAGTCTTTCATGGAGTTTGCTCAAGAAAAAAGTCTACCTATGGATAAACTTCTCTCAGTGTGTACTGATGGTGCTCCGTGTATGGTGGGGAAAAACAAAGGATTTGTGGCGCTTCTCCGTGAACATGAAAATAGACCCATCCTAAGTTTCCATTGCATTACACACCAGGAGGCACTTTGTGCTCAGATGTGTGACAGGCAGTTTGGCGAAGTGATGTCGCTGGTCATTCGTGTGATCAACTTTATTGTTGCCCGAGCCTTAAATGATCGCCAGTTTAAAACACTGCTGGATGAAGTTGTAAATAACTATCCTGGTCTGCTTTTGCACAGCAATGTGCGTTGGTTGTCAAGAGGGAAGGTGCTTAGCCGTTTTGCGGCTTGCCTGAACGAAATCCGGACTTTCCTTGAAATGAAAGGCGTCGGGCATCCTGAGCTAGCCGACACCGAGTGGCTCCTCAAGTTTTACTATCTCGTAGATCTGACTGAACATCTGAACCAGCTCAACGTGAAAATGCAAGGCATTGGAAATACAGTGTTATCCCTTCAACAAGCTGTATTTGCTTTTGAAAACAAGCTGGAGCTTTTCATCACGGATCTTGAAACAGGTCGTTTACTACATTTTGAAAAACTGAGCCAATTTAAAGATGCATGCACAGCAAGTGAGCCCATTCAAAACCTTGATCTCCACCAGCTAGCTGGCTGCACATCCAGTCTCCTACAGTCCTTCAAAGCACGCTTTGGAGAATTTCGTGAGCACACTCGTCTTTTTAAGTTCATCACCCATCCAAACGAGTGTTCACTGAACACAGCCGACCTGAATTACATCCCTGGTGTCTCCGTCAGAGATTTTGAAGCAGAAGTGGCTGACCTGAAGGCCTCAGACATGTGGGTGAATAAGTTCAAGTCACTGAATGAAGATTTGGAAAGAATCACACGACAGAAAGCGGAGTTGGCGAGCAAGCACATGTGGACAGAAATGAAAAAACTCCAACCCGAAGACCAGCTGATTCTCAAAACTTGGAACGCGCTTCCTGTCACATACCACACACTGCAGCGTGTGAGTATTGCTGTATTGACCATGTTTGGATCTACGTATGCATGTGAGCAGTCATTCTCACATCTTAAAAACATCAAGTCCAACCTACGATCACGTTTAACGGATGAAAGCCTCAACGCTTGCATGAAGCTTAACCTCACCAAGTACCAACCCGACTACAAAGACATCAGCAAATCCATGCAGCACCAGAAGTCGCATTAATGGTGAGTGTTATAACAACAGTATTTAAAAGAATAAATTCAGAGGCTTATTATACTGACATTTAGTTGAATTCACTTTTAAAATATATTATATGGCTCTCACTGAAATAAATTTCCAAATTTTTTGCTTTCATGGCTCTCTTAGTCAAAAAGGTTCCCGACCCCTGATTTAGACCTTTGACCATCCACATCTTTGGGGAAATCCTTTTATACTGCAAGTCATGAAATCGCATCACAGTTTTGGAAACAAATGTGATGTTAGGCTCACGTAGTGCTGTTGGTCAGCTTTTGGGAAATCCTCATTGACATTTTGATTTATGTCAAGTGAGGTCTTTAAAGGGCATGTACAGTTTTAAACAACTGTCGGGCATGACAGCACAAGGACTGCTGCGTTGCGACCCACAGCACCGCGAGGAGCACGAGTGGATAGCCGTGCCAGGCAGCCTCACCGATGCATACTTGCCCAAAGTCAAGGGTTGTTCGGCCGCTGTCAGAAACGCAGATGAGCGGTGGGGACACGGCTGGGCAGTGCACCTCCAGGTACAGAGTGTTGTGCACACTGAGGCGAAACGGAGGCCAGGCCACCACATAAGCACATGGGGGGAGCCACATACAAGGCAACAGCAGCAGCAAGGCGTACCTCCCATTATACCACTCCGGTGATGTCACGGCACTAACGTTTTGCGATGTGTGCGAGCGACATTGGAGCGACATCGCCAGTGTCGTGATGGTATTCCTCATCACGGCTTTAAAGTGTTTTTTTTTCTCGAGAACAAAGTTTCAAACTAGTGCGGGACAGCTCAGGACACGCAGTCTTGGTATGTATCTACCCTAGGTGTGTATCTACAATGGATATCTGGCAGAGTATTTATGTGGCATCTTCAGTGTTAGTTAACCATTGTAACATTAATAAACTATAAAATGGTATATCCATTTTCTTCACAGGTACGATCAGGCTTTACATTTTTTTGGTAATGAGAGCTACACGGCTTGGGGAGGCCTTCATCCAGCAGTTGATTGACCATGGCTAATGATCATGATGGAGAGCTATAAGTAGCTATGAAATATCAAACCTTGATACATTATTGCTATATGTGAGCCTCACAATCATCACGGTTGGCTACGTATGGTCTGAAACAATTTCAACATACACGTGCTGTTCAAGTGTGTATTACCTTGCTTTCTAAAGTAATAAGAGGTGCAGGAGTTTTGGGTAGGCCCCATTCAAACTGCAATGGGGCCTTGGCTTGTGTTTGGCACACTCGACGCGTCAGCAGCACCGACCTGCACTTGAGTTGCCCGGGCTGACTTTGAGAAAAGGCATTGCCGCTGACCACAAAGCAGGCGACTGTGTGGGTGCTGTAGCTCCCCGGAAATTCCCTGAGTAGGGAAGCACGGGCAGCCACCAGCTCGTCCTCCCTGGAATGCAAAGCCACGTGGGACGAGCCACTGCCGCATGAATCAGAATATCGGCGGTGCCCGCGTTGCGGACAGACATGCCAGAAAGGGTCAAACGTACCAGAACCACAGACCCGGGTGGGAGGCCTCTCCAGGTTATCACATTTTTTTCTGGGGGCCTGGAAGTCATTCAATTTGAGTATAAATTTAGATCACAGTGCTACATGCTTAATAACTGAAGCGTGAGGTCTGGCATTATTTGAGGTTCATTGCTGAGCAGTTAAGTTTATTTTGTTTATCTAGGTTAGACCTCAAGAGACCAGGATAGTATAATTTGCAAGAGTGGCCTTGCTAGGGTTGGTGGATCACACAAATGTTGTGAAACTCCCTTCCCGTGGGTGTCGAGGTGCCATACCCTGGGTTGCAAGAAAAAAGTGATAAGGAAAAATGTGGACAAATTGCCATCTGTTTTGCCTGTATGGGATAGTGTGTTGCCTCCTCACACGGGTAGGATTTTCTCAAGGTGCTCTGGGTTTCCTCTCACATGTAAAACACTCATTACTTGGCTGAAAAAAACTTCGTAGATATATAGAGGACCACAGAGCTTGGGCAATTGTTGGCACCAGCTCACCGCCTGATTGCTGCCTTGCCACTTGTGTGTGATTCCTCGCGCTGTGAGTTTGCGAAAACGGTGTGCTTTACAAGTTGAAATTATTCTTATTAATTGGTCTTAAGGTGGCTGGGTAGTACAGGCGGTTAAGATTATGTCAGAGCAATGATCCGGCATTGCTTATGAACCGGGTTTGAATCTGTGCACGACTGAATGTAAAAGCTACAAATATAACTAAATTTTAATAACATTGGACGATATGAAAAGATGCAGTATGATTATAATGAACCAAATCAACCCAACATGCGTGCAGACAGACGCTGAGTTGACACTCACTTGCTTAAGACAGGCTCCGCAAATGCGTTTCCATTGACAGGATCTGGTGTGGTGTGCGTTGTGTGGTTTCCCGGCTCCTTGCCACTCTGTTTCTGTCCCTCGAGTCTTTTCTTGTTGGTGAGCGGGCCCTTTTTTCCAGCAGGTTTCTGAGTAGAGCGTGTGCCATGGGATGGTGAGGAAGAATCAAGCAATGATATATTTGACAAAGTGTGTAGTTCTCGTTGCTGTATGAATCCTGATGCCGCTGGCTAAATTATTACCGATTCATCAGTTGCGTGATTCTTTCAAGAAATAAATCAAATCTCCAGAATGGGAGAAATCAATCAGTTGCAGTGAAATTTCTCCTGAATTGTGTTTAATAAACGGAAGGCGTATTCTGAAGCGAAATCTTACTGATGCTGCTGCGGGGATCGGTTGTGCCTGTGAGGAGGCAGAGAGTTCTGCGATGCTCTTGGCTTTGCGAACTGCAGACAGCCTCTCCATCTCCTCCAGCACCTGCTGCTCAGACAGCACTGGCCGGAACAGCAGTCGCACGAGCTGCTTCTGTGAGAAGACGTGGAAAAGGTAATCATTGTAGATAATGGAAAGATGCAGAGACAAGGGGATACAGCAGAGGCAAGGGAAGAGAGAAAGAGAGAGAGAGCGGCACTCATTTCTGTCTTGAGCACCAGGATGACCACGAAAAAGGCCCCCCACAAAGTGGCACTCAAAACATTGACCTCAGATTTCTGATTATGATTCAATGGTGCGGACCACAGTAAATATTAAGGGGTGTCTAAAAAGCGAGGAAACTGAGGTCCACATAGTTCTGTGGATGTACAGTACGTACACATGTACGTATATACGTACGTATGTTGAACTTCTTCCACACCGTACGTAGCCAACGGTGCTAATCGAATGTGCGGGGGAAGGACAACAAATTTTGGAATATGCTGCGGTAAAAAACGTGATTAAACTCGTAACGTGCCACTGTGGTACGACAATCTTAAACAGTAACGACAGGTACAATATCGCCACGTGAGGAAATAATCAGAATACCCAGGGAGAACAGGAGGGAGTCATTGGTCCGCACCATTGACTGAGAAATCTGTATGATCCAGACTCTGCGACTCACTTGTCCCGGCGCCACGGTGCCCACCGCGGGGGAGACGCTCAGCGGGCAGTCGGGCGGCACCACAAACTGGAAGGAGGTGGGGCCCACGGGCGCCACATCCCCCCTGCCGACGCGGGGCACGGGGTGGCTGTACTGATTGGCGCTCGTGTGGGAATTGACAACGTGCAACGACGCCACCGACGTGTCCCCGACGGCCGTAGCTCTGAAGCGCAGCAGGGAGTCGGACAGCTCCAGTGGGGGGTGCACGCCCGTGGCCACGCACCTCAGCTGGAAGTCTCTGCCACACACGAAATGTATTGGTCTACAAATTCTCTGGCCGTGAAGTATTAATTACGGACAAATGTCATGACCAGCATACAGGTAGCGAAGGTAGTCATTGTGTCGACTGCCTAAAAAGTACCTGTTCGTGCCTGACTTGCAGGTCAAGTCAAACTTATACTCTTTGGCCTTTGTGGCACTGAAGATGATGTCGATGAGCACTGTGTCCAGGGGCAGCACTGTTCCAAAGCCGTGGTTCGGCTGCACGTCCACGTACTGTGCGGGCGGGCGAGACGCTCGCGTTAACGCCGCACGAGTCGCCACGGTCCGAGGGAACTGTTGAGCACAGAGCCCTAAAAGGGATGTGCATTAAGGTGGTGCTCATCTACTCATCTGAAAATTCCAAGTCTCTCCATAGGACGACCACTGGTGACTTCCCCACAATTTTGTATTAATTTTAGGGAACGTTTAGAGATGATGAGCTGAGTCAACCCCCAATCAGGAAATTAGCTCTCAGCCTCCAATTGCGAACCGCTCGCTCTGTCACTGAGCCACCCGCCCTGCTCAGTATGACACACGTACTGTTGTGTTTTACAGACATTGAAAATAAATGCGTTGCCATCAATCCACAGCCCCTGATCTCTTCATTTCGAGCGTGTAACACAAAGGCCCAGCCCTGAAATCACTTGCTGCTGATTTTTCTGGAAAAAGGGCCTCCACTGGAGGAAGCTCTAGAGTCTCAAGCGTATTTTGGCCTCATCGTACAGGCTTGACAGATGCCTTGGAAGAGATGCATTTGGTATGAGACAGTAAATATAGTCTTTTGCTTAACAAATTCATTCTTGAACCATATGACCCCAAAATGTGACAGAGAATCAAATCGCGAACCCGACTTGTGACAAGTCATCAAATAATGTGGGGTTTATGGAGAGGAAGGTGATTTTTTTTTTAAGAGGCTGCGACTGGGCTCGTGTTGTCAGGTAAGTTACAAATTGTACCTCGGGGATTGTTACGAAGCCAAAGTCCTGCGCCAGGATGGAGTCGTTGGTGAGTTTGACTGTGGCCTTCACCGATTCAAATATGGTGCAACAGCCAAAGTCGATGACCTCCCGATCGAAGTGCAGGTCGGACGACGTGATGATGGCGTGCACCGTGAAGGGTACCGGCTTGGTCTGGGGAAACGAGATGCGGCGTTCTCAACACCGTCGGCGAACCTGGCATGCCACCGTGAGGAATTTTCCCCTTGGGTGCTGGAGAATGCTGCCTTCACAAAATCAGGAACCCCCAATAGAACGTTGTGTGATTTTATTACTATTATAGTAACGTTCGTTTATCCAGCAAAGCATCACCTGGTCTCAATACTTATGTTCATGAGGGCCCTGCCAAATTTTCACTGCAATGTCGTTATATTCTTGGTTCTTTCGGTAAAGTCATGTAGAAGGGAAACAAAATAATAAATATAAAACAATAAAATTCTCCTGACGTTTCGACTGAAACACAAGCAATCATCATCATCAGGTGTTATATTCATATTCCCATTTTGAGTCATATGCAGACACTTTTTGAACATTTAAATGTTTGGCCAATACCAGTTACGTTGTATGTCCTTGTCAGTTTTTACCTATGGGAGAAAAGCAGAGAACCCGGAGGAAACCCAGACAGAACGGGGGGGGGGACATATAAAGTCCACACAAAGGCACCTAAGTTGTAAATTTAACCCAGGCCCTGCTCACTGTGTTAGCACTGTGCCACCACCACCCTGCTGCCCACGTGTGGGCAATATTTACACGAATCGTGTCTCAGTGACCACCACAAAGAATCTATATATTAATCCAAGATCTCTCAAGAGTGTTGCATTGATTGTACCCATTGCTCTTTTTTTATTTTAACAAGACGTTTAATTTTTGATTTAAAGCTTTCGTGACTGCAGTAATTCATATTCTTAGTTTTTTCGGTAAAGTCACGTTGAAGAGAAACAACAAAATAACAAAATATATATAAAACAATAAAAAATTATCACGACGTTTCGACCATAACTCAAACGGTCATCATCAGGTGTGTCGGTTTGCATAAATTTATTTTGAAAACGGCATATTTATTTATTTATATAAAAATAACGTTTGCGTCACGCGCAACGATTGGCTGTTTGCCAGGACTAGTCCATCTATTTTTTGAAAAGAGGAGGGGGGAGACGAAATTTGTTTTTTTTTATGTATGCTGTCTGAAAGCCACTGTAAGCGTGAACAATCAATCAAGAACTGAAATGATTTATCAAATCTTTCCAATGATTGCTAAGATAGAATCCATCTTCTCGGTTGAAATTGTCTCTGTGTTTGTATATGTGGATAGCCTCATGAACGAATCTCTCATGGAAGCCAGATGGCTTACAAAGAACCTCCGTCTTGGAAAAGTCAATGGCATGTGAGCCTACTGAATTAGAACAATGATCTGCTACGGCCGAGGTGTTGGTCCTACCGTGTTTAAGGTCTGCTTTATGTTCACGAATGCGGTCCGAGATATGGCGTTTGGTTTCTCCAATGTAACTACTACCACAGAGGCAACTTAGTTTGTAGACACCAGGGTATTGTATGTCCGGAATCACATCTTTTACAGACGGAACCAGATCACGGATTTTATGTAATGTGTTGAAACGGACCTGGATCTTGTGTTTATTCAAGATTTTGGAGATCTTTTTTTGTGATCCCAGCAATGTAGGGTAAAGTGATGGTTTTGAAAGGCTCCTCAAGAGGGTTCTTCTTCATGGTTTGAGTGATAGCTTTGCGGATTGTATAGTCGGAGTAACCATTAGCCTTAAGAGCTTGGTGTACGTGCTTGAGTTCACTGCTTATGTGTTCCTGGTCGGATATGCATTGGGCTCTATGATACAGAGTCTTGATGAGAGAATTCTTCTGTGATGGATGGTGGTGGGAATCCGGTTTCAGATAAGCATCTGTATGGGTAGCTTTCCTGTAGACAGAGTGGCTCATTGAACCATCAGGTCTCTTTTTAATTAGGACATCCAAAAAAGGTATCTTGCCATCTATTTCGACTTCCATGGTAAATCTGATGGCTGGGTGTATGGAATTGATGTGGTCGAAGAATTGGTCTAGAGCAGGCCGGCCATGTGGCCAGATGACAAAAGTGTCATCCACATACCTCTTCCATAAGGTTGGGCGCAGAGTGGCAGTCTGGATGGCGTCAGTCTCAAATTTCTCCATGAAAATGTTAGCTATAACTGGAGAAAGGGGGGAGCCCATTGGGGTGCCCTCAGTTTGTTTGTAGAAAGTTCCATTCCAAGTGAAGTATGTATTGGTTAAACAGTGTCTCACCAGGGGGGGTACCTCAGTGTTTAGTCCTTGATGAACCAAGTCTTCAATGATTGCAATGGTGTCAGGTACAGGAACCTTGGTGAATAAGGAAACTACATCAAAACTGACAAGCAGGTCGTCTGGGGACAGGGAAATACCCTTGATTGTTGATACCAGGTGAGTAGAATTTTGTACCGCAGAGGTGGTCTTTCCAGTGAAAGGACGCAGGATTTCAGACAAAAAACGAGCTAGTTTGTAGGTGGGGGAGCTGATAGTAGAGACTATGGGACGAAGAGGTGTATCAACTTTATGTATTTTTGGTAAGCCGTATAATCTTGGTGGCCTGGCAGCAGAAGGTTTCAACGAAAACTGTTTAGATTGATCAATTAATGCGGTTGAATCAGAAATTATTTTGTTGGTTTGTGTGACGAGGCTGTTGGTGGGATCTCTTTTTATTTTTGTATAACTACCATCGTCGAGTAATTCTTTAATTTTGTTGTTGTATTCTATTTTATCCATGATAACAGTAGCATTGCCTTTGTCAGCTGAGAGAACTACAATATCATTCCTCTTTTTTAATTTATATAATTCAAAACGCTCATCTTTGCTGAGGTTGCTAGCTGGCATCTTAGCGTTTTTGAGGGTTGCAGCGATTTCAGATCTTGCTACGTCTGCAGCGATGTGACCCAGGCCCCTGAGAGCAACGTCTACTTGGGCAATTATATCATTAACTGGTATGTGTTTAGGTGTGACTGCAAAGTTTAGACCTTTAGCTAAAACGGATTTCAGACCATCGGAAATAGAACTGTTACTGCGATTAATTACGACTTTATTAACGTCTAACTTTTTGGTGTGTGGGTCCGGTCTTTTGTTGAAGAGGAGGTTAAATTTGGAAATCAGGTTTTCCTTACATTTGGTCGACATAGTAGCAGCTGAAGAGGCAGTCATATTGTCTACATGTTCCCAATCCGATGTGGACATTATTGCCGTCAATGATAAGTGTGATTTGTAGAGTGTCTTGTCTAACTGATCTAGTTCTGTGCGTATAAGTCTGATTTTTTCTGAGATAAGAGCTAAGCTAGTTTTGAAAATAATTCGTTTCGCATTAGAAGAAGTTACAGTAGCAGAGGTGAGTGTAAATGCGATTGGTATTACCCCAGAGTCGCGGCATCTCTTCAGGAAGGTGAGAGACTCGATCAGCTGAGCTTTCTTATCCCGGAGTTTGTTGAAGGATCTTAAAGTTATGTGAAAACCCTCCCCGTAGAGGCGATTAAATTTTGATTTAAAGCTTTCGTGACTGCAGTAATTCATATTCTTAGTTTTTTTCGGTAAAGTCACGTTGAAGAGAAACAACAAAATAACAAAATATATATAAAACAATAAAAAATTATCACGACGTTTCGACCATAACTCAAACGGTCATCATCAGGTGTGTCGGTTTGCATAAATTTATTTTGAAAACGGCATATTTATTTATTTATATAAAAATAACGTTTGCGTCACGCGCAACGATTGGCTGTTTGCCAGGACTAGTCCATCTATTTTTTGAAAAGAGGAGGGGGGAGACGAAATTTGTTTTTATGTATGCTGTCTGAAAGCCACTGTAAGCGTGAACAATCAATCAAGAACTGAAATGATTTATCAAATCTTTCCAATGATTGCTAAGATAGAATCCAGAAAATTAAAGAATTACTCGACGATGGTAGTTATACAAAAATAAAAAGAGATCCCACCAACAGCCTCGTCACACAAACCAACAAAATAATTTCTGATTCAACCGCATTAATTGATCAATCTAAACAGTTTTCGTTGAAACCTTCTGCTGCCAGGCCACCAAGATTATACGGCTTACCAAAAATACATAAAGTTGATACACCTCTTCGTCCCATAGTCTCTACTATCAGCTCCCCCACCTACAAACTAGCTCGTTTTTTGTCTGAAATCCTGCGTCCTTTCACTGGAAAGACCACCTCTGCGGTACAAAATTCTACTCACCTGGTATCAACAATCAAGGGTATTTCCCTGTCCCCAGACGACCTGCTTGTCAGTTTTTATGTAGTTTCCTTATTCACCAAGGTTCCTGTACCTGACACCATTGCAATCATTGAAGACTTGGTTCATCAAGGACTAAACACTGAGGTACCCCCCCTGGTGAGATACTGTTTAACCAATACATACTTCACTTGGAATGGAACTTTCTACAAACAAACTGAGGGCACCCCAATGGGCTCCCCCCTTTCTCCAGTTATAGCTAACATTTTCATGGAGAAATTTGAGACTGACGCCATCCAGACTGCCACTCTGCGCCCAACCTTATGGAAGAGGTATGTGGATGACACTTTTGTCATCTGGCCACATGGCCGGCCTGCTCTAGACCAATTCTTCGACCACATCAATTCCATACACCCAGCCATCAGATTTACCATGGAAGTCGAAATAGATGGCAAGATACCTTTTTTGGATGTCCTAATTAAAAAGAGACCTGATGGTTCAATGAGCCACTCTGTCTACAGGAAAGCTACCCATACGGATGCTTATCTGAAACCGGATTCCCACCACCATCCATCACAGAAGAATTCTCTCATCAAGACTCTGTATCATAGAGCCCAATGCATATCCGACCAGGAACACATAAGCAGTGAACTCAAGCACGTACACCAAGCTCTTAGGGCTAATGGTTACTCCGACTATACAATCCGCAAAGCTATCACTCAAACCATGAAGAAGAACCCTCTTGAGGAGCCTTTCAAAACCATCACTTTACCCTACATTGCTGGGATCACAAAAAAGATCTCCAAAATCTTGAATAAACACAAGATCCAGGTCCGTTTCAACACATTACATAAAATCCGTGATCTGGTTCCGTCTGTAAAAGATGTGATTCCGGACATACAATACCCTGGTGTCTACAAACTAAGTTGCCTCTGTGGTAGTAGTTACATTGGAGAAACCAAACGCCATATCTCGGACCGCATTCGTGAACATAAAGCAGACCTTAAACACGGTAGGACCAACACCTCGGCCGTAGCAGATCATTGTTCTAATTCAGTAGGCTCACATGCCATTGACTTTTCCAAGACGGAGGTTCTTTGTAAGCCATCTGGCTTCCATGAGAGATTCGTTCATGAGGCTATCCACATATACAAACACAGAGACAATTTCAACCGAGAAGATGGATTCTATCTTAGCAATCATTGGAAAGATTTGATAAATCATTTCAGTTCTTGATTGATTGTTCACGCTTACAGTGGCTTTCAGACAGCATACATAAAAAAAACAAATTTCGTCTCCCCCCTCCTCTTTTCAAAAAATAGATGGACTAGTCCTGGCAAACAGCCAATCGTTGCGCGTGACGCAAACGTTATTTTTATATAAATAAATAAATATGCCGTTTTCAAAATAAATTTATGCAAACCGACACACCTGATGATGACCGTTTGAGTTATGGTCGAAACGTCGTGAGAATTTTTTATTGTTTTATATATATTTTGTTATTTTGTTGTTTCTCTTCAACGTGACTTTACCGAAAAAACTAAGAATAAGACGTTTAATGTTACAGTGTGGAGGGCTGACTGAACAAGGGACTGCAAAAACAGCCAAAATCCTCACCTGATCTCCAACTCGAATGAGTACAGGTGCTTCTAGCACACGCGTGTCTTTATCAAAATATCCAGGTGCATCCACGGCCATGCTCTGTCTGAAAATGTACACGCACGCAAAAAATATGAGCGCATGTAAGGACAAGCAAATTTCAAACACTTTGCGAATATTCAAGGCCATATACAGTGAGGGAAAAAAGTATTTGATCCCCTGCTGATTTTGTACGTTTGCCCACTGACAAAGCAATGATCAGTCTATAATTTTAATGGTAGGTTTATTTGAACAGTGAGAGACAGAATAACAACAACAAAATCCAGAAAAACGCATGTCAAAAATGTTATAAATTGATTTGCATTTTAATGAGGGAAATAAGTATTTGACCCCTCTGCAAAACATGATTTAGTACTTGGTGGCAAAACCCTTGTTGGCAATCACAGAGGTCAGACGTTTCTTGTAGTTGGCCACCAGGTTTGCACACATCTCAGGAGGGATTTTGTCCCACTCCTCTTTGCAGATCTTCTCCAAGTCATTAAGGTTTCTAGGCTGACGTTTGGCAACTCGAACCTTCAGCTCTCTCCACAGATTTTCTATGGGATTAAGGTCTAGAGACTGGCTAGGCCACATAAGGACCTTAATGTGCTTCTTCTTGAGCCACTCCTTTGTTGCCTTGGCCGTGTGTTTTGGGTCATTGTCATGCTGGAATACCCATCCACGACCCATTTTCAATGCCCTGGCTGAGGGAAGGAGGTTCTCACCCAAGATTTGACGGTACATGGCCCCGTCCATCGTCCCTTTGATGCGGTGAAGTTGTCCTGTCCCCTTAACAGAAAAACACCCCCAAAGCATAATGCTTCCGCCTCCATGTTTGACGGTGGGGATGGTGTTTCTTGGGGTCATAGGCAGCATTCCTCCTCCTGCAAACACGGCGAGTTGAGTTGATGCCAAAGAGCTCCATTTTGGTCTCATCTGACCACAACACTTTCACCCAGTTGTCCTCTGAATCATTCAGATGTTCATTGGCAAACTTCAGACGGGGATGTATATGTGCTTTCTTGAGCAGGGGGACCTTGCGGGCGCTGCAGGATTTCAGTCCTTCACGGCGTAGTGTGTTACCAATTGTTTTCTTGGTGACTATGGGTCCCAGCTGCCTTGAGATCATTGACAAGATCCTCCCGTGTAGTTCTGGGCTGATTCCTCACCGTTCTCAAGATCATTGCAACTTCACGAGGTGAGATCTTGCATGGAGCCCCAGGCCGAGGGAGATTGACAGTTGTTTTGTGTATCTTCCATTTGCGAATAATCGTACCAACTGTTGTCACCTTCTCACCAAGCTGCTTGGTAATGGTCTTGTAGCCCATTTCAGCCTTGTGTAGGTCTACAATCGTGTCCCTGGCATCCTTGGAGAGCTCTTTGGTCTTGGCCATGGTGGAGAGTTTGGAATCTTATTGATTGATTGCTTCTGTGGACAGGTGTCTTTTATACAGGTAACAAGCTGAGATTAGGAGCACTCGCTTTAAGAGTGTGCTAATCTCAGCTCGTTACCTGTATAAAAGACACCTGGAGCCAGAAATCTTTCTGATTGAGAGGGGGTCAAATACTTATTTCCCTCGTTAAAATGCAAATCAATTTATAATATTTTTGACATGCGTTTTTCTGGATTTTTTTGTTGTTATTCTGTCTCTCACTGTTCAAATAAACCTACCATTAAAATTATAGACTGATCATTTCTTTGTCAGTGGGCAAACGTACAAAATCAGCAGGGGATCAAATACTTTTTTCCCTCACTGTATACATGTACAGGTATAAGTACACATTCTAAATAAACTCTAGTTTCATGGGTTAATCCAGCCTTGCTTGCACTGCTCATGTTTCTGTTTACAAATATTGAGTGGAAGAATCGACACGGAGACGTCTCTTCTGGTAAGGGCTCACGCCAGGTTTATTTAGGGGCTTACGCCTAGGAACTAAGTAGGGGCTTACGCCTAACAGTTATTACATGCTACCGTATAACTCCCCAGGGAAAGGGTACTGGGAGGTCCCTAGCACCCACCCAGGCTATTCAGGCTCTTCCCTCAGCACCGACCGAGGGATCAGCCAACTCGGTCGGCCGGGTGACGTAGCCCCCCTAGCCCGGTGCTAATTTCCCTCTACCCTGGGTCCCCACGTCTAACCTCTCTGTTCCCGGCTCCTCACGACAACCCCGTTCACGTCACCCGTCTCAGCTTATATATCCCCGGGTGACAAACCGTCATCCAGTCTACACCCCAGGATGACATGACATCATCAACTACACAACACAAATAACCAGTCAAAAGCCCTGTCCTTGCTGTGCTTCAATGAGTCGACACTCAGGTACTACGTATGTTCTGATCTCGTGTTCGGGAGCACCATTACCTGGGGAGGAATTTGAGCTGAGCTGAGAACGTGGACTGTGCTTGGATGTAGCCGTTCTTGGGCAAAACCTCCAGGTAATTCTGCAGCTGCCTGCACACTTCAAACTTCAGGCGAAGTGCAGTCGTTGCTCTGGCAAAGCACATCAATGGATCACAGGTAAATATTTTTTTTAATCACAGGTCAGCCAACCAAGAGGTGGATAGATGGTGTGAGACAAGACAAACATTGCAGTGCGATGACAGAACAGGCTCATTATTGCACAAATGCTTCATGCAACACCCCACCTTCATGTGCTGTATGATGAATGTAGATGATGATTCTGCAGTGATATTTCACAGGGTTCCTCCATAAGGATACATTCTCTACCAACAGGCTCTCAGTTGCATTTAATTAAACATAAATCAACCATTCAGCATGGTCTGTGAGTGTGCATTGCAGCTGGTGGACACACCGGTTATGGACCAGCACGGAGTCCTGGTAGAGGCGGTCAAACGTGCAAATCTTGAGGTCCACGTTTGGCCGCTGGACCCACACGGGAACGTCCACCGCCAGCGCGCTTGCCCGCACCTCCAACTGACACAGTGGCCACGGACACCGTCGGCACAGAGTCGCTTGGTGTAAGGGTGTGGGTAGCGAGGTGTGCACGTATCAGTTTTGTTCTGCAACAGTTGTCAAGTACACTCGTGCAGCTGGGCACCAGTGGCATCGCTTGGTGAGCATTGGCCCTGGGGCACGGAATTAAATGAGTCCCTCAATCTAGTGCCCCGCTTCTCCGTCCCCCCCTCCTTCACAATTGGCACCGGTGCAGTTGCACCACCTGCACATCGCTACGCAACTGCTGGGTACGGGGGCACACGCCTAATATCAAATGCTTTGGAGTCAAGGGCTGGCAGCATCAGCATCACACACACGTGTGAAACTGGGCTGTGAAGTGGCCAGGAGATGGAAGGACATCAAATAGATTGATATGCTCATCTGTGCGGACCTTGAAGTGTTATCTGCACAAACGCATGGGTGTGTGCCAAATACCCTGTGCTGACCAAACATTCCAATAGCAAGCCCTTCTGAAAAAAAGTCTTGACACTCAGGCTTTCCAAACTAGATACAGGCCATTATCACCATTATATAAAATATATTTATCCAGGGCTTTTTCATTTACACTACAATACACCAGGAGGTATTCAACATCTTGTCACGTCGAGTTCTCAGTCTGTTGTCATTGTCGCCAAGTGAGGAGGTAAGCAGCCGCCACCCCCTTGAGAGAGGCTCTCACGCGTGGGGAGCCAGGGTCGGTGAAGTGGACGTGGAAGGTAGCGCGGGTGTCCCCAGGAACTGTCGGGGTGAACACCACCTCCAGCTTCACGTAGCCCAGTCCTGGAAGCTCGCCCTCCACCACCTACAGACGCACATTCGGCAGCTTCACAGCCTGGCACTTGAGCCCCTTCAACCTATGGGCTCCTCTGTCCTCAGGGCCCCGGTGCAGATGCACTTGCCTGCACTGGTTGCTGCTATATCTCCTCCCCTACGAATCAGGGAGCTTATTGGCGTGTGACCTGTGGCCCGTAGTCTCCTCCCCTGTGTTGAACCCAGCCAAACCAGCAGCGCTCACCTCCCCTGTACGCAGCTCCTCGGGGAGAGCCGGGTCTGGTGTCTGCGTCGCTCTCTCCACGTCGGCCTTCTCTGGGCTATTTCTACTGCAATCGCTCTCAACCATTTCTGTAAAATGTGCGCAAAACTCAACATCCATTCGTTACGAGAGACATTTAATGCACGCACATTTACAGTACTTTGTCAATCTCCTGCGGTACGTCTTCCCCATGCCATGTCAATTATGGGGGTTTAACCATGCTTCACCACGCCAGTCACTGCAGATTGATAAAAAAGGTGCTAGGGGATCCAAAGGACCAGTTTCGGTATCACTTGCAACTGATGTTAGCCGTGGCTGGGAATCAGACTGACTACCGGGTCCCCAGTGCAGCGTGTTAACCTGTGCACCACCGCCGGTGACCATAAATGAGCGAGCTATGTGTGATGCAAAGTCCTCAAAGTCAGCTATCGGTCTATCATAAAACATACCAAAGAATTTAGTAAACTACAGTTTGTTGTACTCTTTCTACTAAAACAAATACACCCACATTGTATTTATCCGTTTGAAAACTTCAATTGCATTCAGTTTCAGGACGACTGTCCATATACAAGATCATACCCAGAGAGCGCTGCTACGGGGGGGTGGGGATGTTTCAGTGCACCGCACCTGGGCTGTCCCCTGGCTCCCCTTCAGCCTCTGCAGCAGCAGCAGCCTCCGTGGCCTCAACCCCGCGCTGGGAACTCACAGAGGAGGCATCCTCTCCCCCTCCACCTTGCGCTACCTGTACCACACAACAGCAACTTGGTTACGTGAACAAACGTGTGCCATATCTACCGAAGCGCACGCGCACAATTCCCAACGCGGAATTGGTGGGCACCAGTGGGAAGTGTGGCAAAATAGATTGTTGTACTATACTTCTATGCTCTCACATCTATGCATCCTGCCTTCACCAACATGGGGAGGCCCTTACCCAGCAGTGGATTGACAAAAGTGGATGTACATGTATACACACCGAGACAAGTCCTCTACAGTCATACAGACTTAGGTTGAGTGCTTTTAGCAAGCACCTATCAAGGCCTACATGGCGGATGGGGGATTGTGTGGCCAACATCACACCCAGCCAACGTTGTTTCCTCAGTTCTGATGTTCACATACTGCACCCAGGACAAGTTCTGATACCACTTGCCAGTAATGCTATCTGTGGCCGGAATTCATACTCGTTTGCAAAACATTCAGATGTAAAGAGATGTTTTGTCACGATTTAGTCAGATTGTAGAACTAAGCACAGGAAGTAAACATATCCTGTGAACTGACACTACAGTGCATTTGCACTGAAATAGATATGGCCACCCCACAATTACTTATTTTCGTAGCAATACTGTAAATCGGGTTTGTTTTTAACATCCCTATTTGCTGTAGGCTTTGACAATACATGTACACGGTCATCAATATTAACCCCGGCTGGCAGGGCTCTTGAGTAGAAGCCTTGTACACACCAGCCACATAGACAATGAATGGGAGGTCTGATGCAGAACTGCTGAGTGATATAAACGTTGCATTTTTACGAATATTCCAAATAAATGTGTTGCCATCGATCTGCAGCCCCTCATCTCTTGATTTTAGACGTGCAACAGCTGTATGCGGGGCCTCTGTGCAAGCAATAGAAATGCTCACAAATGGTTTGGGTCGCTCTCCACCAACGGATCAGCAAGAGTACAGTCCACTCAGCACAGCAAGTTGGGGGAAAATAAATTGGCTTTGGAGTTCTTGCATGATTCCCCGTCGAAACAATTCCCATTCAGTCTGTATTTTGTTCAGGAGTGGTCACATCTGACCTTCACAGACATTACAGCAGCTGTCATGCCAACCACTCCTGTGTACATATGGCAACATTGATCACAACCACAGGTATCTGTGGCTAGCCTGCGAGCAGAGGCGACTGATGTAGACAACAGCCCTAAGGGAATGCGTGTGCTTGCAGGGCCTTGCTGTGAGCTGGCACTGCCAAACGCACACGTGGTGTTGCCCGGACCTCTTGTGCCTCTTCATAGTCTGCCTTTACGAAACGGAACCTGGTCCCGAGAGCGCCCCGGTTCACCAACGTGAAGGTCCTCCTTATGGTCTCTCCGACCACGTGGGTGCCAAAGTCAATCTTGGACCTGTCCACCGTCACCTGCACAATACACGCACACAGTGCCATCGCCGGTATCAGTGCCTGCTGGAAGCAGACACCACGTCTATCATCATCATTCCTTCAGCCCGCACTGGCTCACAGATCCCCATCAGCCATGGTCTTCCCTTAGCAGAGCCTTGCGCTGTACTCACGTCACATTTCTTAGTTGTGCACTGCACTGGCACTGTGAAGGGTCCGCTCTGAGCTGCAAACTGCAGCTCTCCATTCAGGTCCTCGTTTTTCTGTTCAAGAGAGGCAATCATTTGTAACATTTCATGGACCAGTTTGGCATAGGCTGAAAATACTTGCCCACCATCGTCATTAACAAACACTGCCTCATAGATCGAAAATAAAGTCAGGCAGTGTTTGTTAATGACCATGGTGGTGAAGTATTTAAATTTGTGCTCAATCATTTGTGACTTTATAATGGTCCAATATAAATGCATCAAACATTTATATTATGAAAACAACAACCCAACTGATGTCTTTGTTGAAAAACAGCACTAATTATGGAATAAGTGCATTGGTTCATGCAATATTTTAATCAGTGACAAGTAATGAACGCACTGCATAGGATTCACCGTGATTCTTATTATAAATAATAAATGTGTGAAATCTGAATAGAGTAACATGACTCACTGAAAATAACAGCAGGGTCTTGGCCATCACTAACAATAATTAAAAGTCTAAACATTTCAGCCAGCTGACTTCCTTTACCGAAGAACTTTCAACGGACTTGTCTTGTTTTTGCAAGAATGCTAATTGGCCAAAACATCTATTTGTCCTCCCAGCGAACGGTAAATATGGTCTTGTTCTGCCAGCTGAATGAGCATGTGAAACAAAGCCCCCTTGGAGCCTGGTCCCTGTGGTCGGAGTCGTTCTCCCCAGGTGAAGGAACGCTCCACCAACACCCTGTGAGAGCGAGGATGACTCGCGGAGTGATGGACACGCCGAGAGCCGACTACTCCTGCGCTCCGTCAGAACCCCTCCCTGTGTGGCTGCTGGCACTCACTGTCGCCTCGAAAGTAACCATCAGCTCAAAGGACATTCCTGCAGACATCTGTCCCGGAGGCTTGAACCTGGTGGGGCACACGTTACATGTATTGCACGGCATTCAGTCCGGTTTTAAATATTCAGCAGGGTTGTGTATTATTCTTGAAATTAGCATCTCATTGTTTTGCTTGCTTGATAAGCTTTACTTACATAACACTGCCTGCTAGCTTCGGATTTGCAATTTAGACTTAAACGGCAATTATATTTGCACCCATGTTTTCCTTGCACAGTAAACGTGCAGTCTCTATGAGCGACCTATCTCGTGTCCTCATAATGGAGGGTCGATGCCCAAGGCAGCTGCTCTCCACGTGTTACGTCTTCACCGTCTCTCGCGGATAGTTCCATCCAATTGGTCACATTCTCCCACCGACTCTTCCCTTCCTCTTCCCTCTTTTTTCCCCTTTAATTTTCCTTTGTAGAATCATCTTGGTCACATCTCCCTCCAACATCTTCTCATCATAATTCCCAGCAATGATTAAACACTGATGAGCTCCCACCTGGTTGTAATTAAAAGTAACTGCCAGGAATGGAGAAGATGATCAGGCTGTGACTGCTGCATTCACACTGAGAGCGTGAACACAGGCACAGTGCTCTCTTGACCTCCGCACGGTAAGGTGCCTCTGGCTTTACGAACCGCACACTGACGGAGTCCTCCAGATGTTCGCTCATGCCCTTGTAGCGGCAGAAGTTGCTGGTGTAGGACACGTTCGTAAGAACCACTTTCAACTTGTATATTTTCCCAACATCAAAGTTCTGGGAAGACAGCAACATAAGAATAGTGTTTAATACAGAAAACAGTCACGTGGTAATTGTATCTATTTGATATGCGTGACCAGAGTCATACCTCTAAATTATTATATCGCTTGTTTACCCAGAAAAGCTTAACCGAGTCCCAAGACTCTTTTTCAGGAGGGTCCTGCTAAGTTATCGCAGGAGGGGGCAATGCTGCTTCGTGTAATCCAAATTGAGTAATTTGCAGGTAATGTCTTAGCATCGGGTTGTTTGGCCTTTTTAAGCTTTGGAAGGGAGCCAGAAAACCCAGAGAAAACAGAACAGGGTGAGAACATACTCCACACAGAAAGGTGCCCAAGTCGGAAATCGAACCCAGGACCTCCTTGCTGTGAGGCACAAGTATTACCACTGCACCACCCTGCTGCTCAAAAGCACACGTAACCTAGGTTTATGTACTTCTGTAGTAAATTAGTACATCGGATTTACCGAAGGAACAACATGCTAGAAAAATACTGCTGCCATCATTAATAATAAATACTGCATTTGCAGATAAACGATGAGCCAACATTTGAGCAATCACATTTCAAAACAAAAATAAGTGACAATGCAAATAACTGTGGCTTATGTTTAAGAAACAAGGCATTGCACAGTTTCAAAACAGGCAAACAAGGCTACAAACAGGCCATGATATGTATAGTTTAAAGCACTCATGTAAACGTGTGTGGAAAATAAAACGCGTATCACGAGCCGGGTAAGCAAGCATCAATCACCCTTCACTGCGCACCGCGAGTGCCAACAGCAGAGTCGAGCCATCCTTTGTGGCTTGATTAGGACCTGCCAAATGCTGTGTGTGGCAAGGCCAACAGGTGGCCTGCACAGTATCACTGGGATGCCCACCTTGAAGGCTATGACGTTGGGCTTGCTGGAAAAGCAGCGGCCCTGAACCGTCAGCCCCAGTCTGCGTTGGCCCTTTGGCTTTTCCTCCAGCACGGGGCCTCCTCCCTCTGCTTCACTGGGTCCAAACGGATGGGTTTTCACCTCCTGACCAGTGGCCTGCTCACAAGCGAGAGTAAATGTTGCAATAAATTATTAAAAGTGTGCTAAATAAATTAACATTACAATAAAAGGTCGAAATTACACGAGCTTTTGAAAGTTCTGCACGAAAAGAAAAATCCTATGACATCATGCTGCTATATCATTTAATTTCCACATTTGAAATATTTATATGCTCAAAATGATAGAAATGAAGGTTGACCGATGGTGCATGCTCTGTTAGTCTTTTTCCAACCTGTAATGGTCTGTCTCACTGTGGTACTTCAGGATGCCATAGCCGACTGTTACTCACGCGTCTGTTCGCCACCAGTGAGACTCACGGAATCCCGCTTTGTTTTCTGCTCGTCTTCCGGCTCCCAGAGCCCCGGGTACTCGGACTGAATCAGATCATCTTCCTCCTCCTCGTACCCCGGGCTCCGAGTGGCCATGGCCACTGTCTCCCCAAGTCCACTCAGCCCCGCATGCTCCCCATCTCCGTCCGAGTCCGGGGAGGGAGAGCGACACCTGAGTGGCTGGGACGTCACAGAGTACAGGTTTCGTTGTCTAACATACACAGCTCTGTTGTCAATCCTCTGATGAAATACAAGTGGTCCGTGGGGGTAGTTTGACCATACTTCGCCACACTGGTTTGTGCAGGGACCATAGATGAAGCATAGTAAAGTACAACATGGATTTTGCTGCCTTGCTGACAAATCTAAAGCAATTAAAAAAGGAAATTGATTTCAATTCGAACAGTCTTGCCTAAACGCAGATGCCACAAAGCATTGGATTTATTTACAGACAGCCCAGACTTTAGACCCCCGTAGAGCAAGCTCACAAGACACAGTGTTAATCTGGTTCATCGGCCCTCCTGCATTGGTGAAGTAAACACCGGCTGGCGATCATCACTTGGTAGGAAGTTAACAGTGGTTGTCCTATGCAGAGACTGGTGCTCGCCACTGGCCCAGAGCCACTTAAAGAAATGACGAGCACTAAGACTTGACTCTAGCATGCAGATGGTTTGAACTTTTATACTTAAAATACGCTGTGCATTGCCAGGTGAATGTCCACTGTGTGTCGTGGGCACACAGACCGGCGCTTGGCTGTTCCCGGTTTCCCCCAGGGCCTCCTCAAGCAGCCGAATGACCCTGGGGTCGGCGAGCCGCGTCCCCACTGCTCCCTCTGCGTCTCGGGATGCTGTGGCGGCCGCAGGGTGCTGCCGCCGCTGCTGCTGCTTGCTTCTCCGCTTCATTTCTGCCTCCTCTTTCAAGATGTGTTCAATGATGTCCACTTGACGTGCCTTGACCTGCTCCTCAAACTCCCTGAATAATAAACCATGCAGGGCCAGATTTAGGCACGGGTTTTAATGGGACACCACGGCTGTGAATATTTGGCAAACCGTAAAGTCTTGGTGACTTTTGATGCCCTTGGCTTGCTGTATTACCCTCTGCTAAACACCATAAAGCCCCATACCCTATAACAACCTGCTGCGGTAATTCATGCAATAACTATGCAGGCTCAACCCTGCCTTGCTTCCAAGGTCTCATGAAAAAATAAATAAGCAGACAATATGTTTCCTTCAAAAATTCATCTCTCCACATACAGAATAAAAGTATTTATTACACAACACATTGGCCACACGGCTGCCTGGTCATAGGCAAATACATTCACAACAGCCCGTACCGTTTTGTCCGTTCAAACTCTTCCAAGCGCTTCCTTTTGAGAAGGACTTCAGTCGGGTTTCCTCCGCTGGCAAGGATGGCGGCCCTCTCCCGCTCCTCCTCCTGCATCCGAGCCGCTTGCTCCGCCACCTGCCGTGCTCTCAGCGCCCGCAGATTCTCCTGGAGCCGCAACAGCAGCAGCAGCACCGCGTAGGCAGCGCCAGCGGTAGAATTGTCAGCGGGCACTCTCGCCGTCAACACTCGGGACCACGCGACAATTTATTTCGGATTCTTCAAGTCCTACAGTGTCTCTCTGCAATCAGCATGCGAGGGTAATGCCATTGCACAAATGTTTTCTCAACGTAGCTCGTACCCTTGAGTTGTGGATTTGAAGTTTTTGCACTGTACAGTGTGTTCAGAAGAGAATCTCCCACCAAAGGATAAATATATATGGGGTAAGTTTTTATAATTTTTTACCAGCAGACAGTCGTTTCACACATTGTGCTTGGCTACAGTGGACCTTCGCAAGTGTCTAGGTGTGGATTTTTAAACGGTATAAGGCATAGATCTAAGTCAAGACAGTGGATTTGCACCGTGACTCGTGTGGACTGTCAGTGTCGTGCAGAGACCTTGTTGTTTGCGATGCTCTGCTTCAGAGTCATGATGGACTTCAACCTGCGGTCATTGTCCTGCCGAACCTTCTCCTCCTCCTCAGCCTCCCTCTGGCGAACCCTGTAGGAGGCACACAGTGCCACCACCTCAACTACACTTAATGCCTGCGACTTTAAAGCCTAAATGTGTATTTGTTAACAATGCCATATTTCATCACACATTGCAACTTAAAAAAAAAAATCACATTTGTTTAATAATTATTAGTCTATTAATTTTTTAGCAAAAACACATTTGCTGAAGTTTGTTACAATTCATCAGTTTCCTACATGTCTTGGCTACAAAATCTGGGCTTAGAGCCCTCACCTTTAATAATACCCAGCTATTTCAGACCAGACCTGTGAGCAAGTAAAACATTTTTTACAAATTTTTACGAGGTGAGAATTCTAGAGACAAACATCGTCTAATTTTCAAGAATTAATCTAGGTGACCACGTCCATTATAATTACAATTACAGCAACGCTCTTGGGTGAAATTTCAACTTCAATCACATTGTGATTGCAAGTCATTACTAAAAAGACACAAGAGTAGTTGACCCGAGGTTTGGTACATGCCCTGTTGGCGGTGAGAGCCCTCACTTGGCCATGGTGTCCCTGAGGAAGTGCCTGGCGCGCTGCTGGTTGCGAGCGATCTCCTCCGCCGCCTGCCGCCGCCTCTCATCCAGCGCCATCATTTCCTGCGAGCGCTGCCTGTGAATAAACCCACGACTTGCGCATCGCACGATATGCCCAGGAGCAGCAGCACGACATGCACACACATTTCCAAAGTGTTTCTCGGTGCTTTGCTAGCTTATTATTGTACATGCATCAGCCCATCATCCCTCCTGGGTCAATAAAATGAGCACCACTTTAGAGGGAAGTCAACAGTGGTTTTCCTATTGGTAGACACACCCCTTCCATAACAATATGGAATTTCCACCACTGGCTTAGGCTGTAAACAGGAGATGAGCACCACCTCATTGCTCAGTTGAACTTGAACTTCTTTCGCACCGTACATAGCCAGTTGAGCAGAAAATTATTTAAACGTGTACATGCACAGCATTGTCAACCCACTTCTGGATGAGGGCCCTCCCTTTCCGTGCGGCTCATGGGGGCTATCTGACCATGCTCCACCACGCCGCTCTTTCTTACCGCTCCCACGCCTCCACGCTCCGTTGTGCCGAGGTGGCCTTGGCCATCTCCAGCGCGATGCGCCCCTCCGCCCGCTCATGCTGCTGGGTGGCGATGGCGCGCTCCGCCTCCTGTACGTGTTGCTGCACCTGGCTAAAGCGCCCGAGCTCCACGTCCAGGGCGCACAGTGCGAGCCTGGAGCGCACGTGGGCAGGCGGGGGGACGTCACATGCACCGCAACCTTAGTCCATGGGGGCACGTCACGTGCACCGCCACCTTAGTCCACGGGGGCACGTCACATGCACCGCAACCTTAGTCCATGGGGGCAGGTCAAACACACACCGCAAACTTAGACCATGGGGGTACGTCACACGCACCACAAGCTTAGTCCACGCTGCCCCAATATTCTGCCGTTCCATTCCCCCAGCTATCTGTCATGTCCACTCCTTGACCCTGTCAATTCAAGGCTCAAGACCGTGTTTAATCTGCCTAAGACCGACTGGCTCTCTCCGTAAAATCAATATATGCCCACTGTTTCTGTACAGCATCTTGGGATGTAGTTGCAATTAGACAGTACATACTGTACATCTAAATGTTATTGCATTTGTTAGTGCCATCTAAGGTGGCAACACTTTTTTCCCTCCTCTTTGTGAAAGAATGTTCATATAGGCTAATAAATTAAGACTTTTGTTAGCAGACAAGAACTTGCTGAGATCAGAAGTCCTGGTTTTAATGTCTATACATTACATTTTCATTATACCTCATGCTCCGACAATTCCCACTCACAAAGGAGAGAGAGGAGCCAGTGATGACGATCGCGGTAGTGCGACACTCGCTCAGTATCATGTTCTTGGCAAACAATTAAGTTATTACATTTCCTCCGGCTTTGTGTTAAAATAGAAAAAATGTTATTCCGCCAAATTGTTAGCATACTGATACAATTGCAAAGGCAACCTGTCCATTCGCCAGCAAGTCGCCAGGTAGTGTTACTAACCTGAAACAAAAGCGGGAAACGTACCTTGTGTTTGCTATAATAGGCAGCTTAGCAGCTGCACATAGCTATCCAGTAAAGGGCAAGTGACTGTGTTAATGGCCACTGAGTATGACTGAGCAGTGGTGAATTGTGCAGAACGTACTGGTGCTGGGAGATAGTCTGGCTGAGGGTGTCCTGTAGTGCCTGCTCTGTATCCACCTCCTCCTTCGTTCGTGTTTCTTGTCTTTGTAAGAGGGTCATAGCGACACTGAAAAAACAAGCATCGCTCATGTCGGTGAACGTGTAAGGAGGTCATTGTACATCACAACTATCGTAGACAGTTCTGTTTTAGTTCAATAGCATCAAGACTACATTCCCTGTCCTTTCTTGCAGAGCTCAGGGTGTCAAATAAATGTGTTAGGTCAAGTTGATTGTGTTTAAACTTGAACACATGCCATTCCTTAAATGGCATCTGTTAGTAAATCGCTCAGATTTATACTCTCACTTAAATGCACAAACGCCAAGTGAATGAAAAGTTCAATTATAATGGAACTAAAAACAGTGCTACAGATCACTTAAACACACCCTTACCTTTAACACAAACTCAAAACGTACAATCCAACGCACTCGACGTGGGTCTCGTGACATGCACAGTGCGATGCTGCCAATGTGTTAGAGAGCAATGTTTAATTAGATATACACGTGAGATTTGCTTGTAACCATGTTGGAGCCCACCGAGAAAAACAAAAACTCTTCCTAGGGAGAGCGACACCTTGACACCTGATGTGTTGCATGGCAACGTAGACCATCTCGCCTGTGAACAAGCGCGATGGTCTACCAACGCCGATACTCGTCCTCCTCCTCCTCACGTGTTGGTGCTGTCCGCCGCTTGCCGCATTTGTTGCTGCGTTATCTGCTGCTCCCTGCGGAGCTCCTGCTCCCTCAGCCGGCTCCCTCGCAGCTCCTCTCTGGCAACACGGCAGCAGCAGCGGTAAGCTGGGACATCCTCACACACCACGGTTTCACTGCAACCACAGCAGCTACAGCGCCTCGTGGTTGTGCTGCTGCTGTGTAACGGCATGGGGACTCTGCTGTGTCACCGTGAGGGCGTTCTGACCCAGTCTGCTGAATGAGCGCCTCCGTCTGGCTCTTGGCCTCCCAGAGTTGGTTGAGGTGACGTCGCAGTGTGTACAGCTGAGCCTTCTCCGCGTGTGTCAACCGCACACCTTCCGCGTGCTGTTGAGCCTCCTGCAGAGCAACACTGCTGTGCACGTAGTGGAGTTTTGGTGGAGATGGACATTCCTTGATTTTACACTAAACGTGTCGTGTGTGTGATCAACTGGTAGAACAACATGACATGCTCAGTTGTATACAATGGTAGAACAATATGTGGGTAATGGATAATAAATAATCAGACAGTGGTCTGCTTCTCCATATAAAAATATAAATGGAATGTCGATCAGTCACCCAATGGGTCTTCTGGATAAATTTGCTGCAATGAAACAGCCACAGTGTTGGTCGAAGATCTTGCCTGTAACATCAGGTAGCAGAGCAGAATTTGTTTAGCAGGCCACTCTCTGCTGATGCGACTTGCAGTTAAAACTGAAAATATTAAAATCAAGAACATGGAAACCTAATACTTGTGCATAGCCAGTTCGTATGAAGCGTATGTGTAGTAGGATAAGTTATCAGCACACACATCTTAACGCGTGAGCAAAAGATGCAAACGGTCTTCCCACATAGCATTGTGTAACAATGGCTTATTCGAGTGGAGGGTTCATTTATAGAGTTCAGTGACGGATTGACTTGCCTGGAGTCTAATTCCTGGCTGAGAGCCCAAGTATCTTCTTCCATCTCAGCAGCTCTGTGCTCGGCTTCCCAGGCTGAGAGCCACACACACACACGACACGGATTCACAGCGCCTATGGACTGCCTACTTGAGCAACACCAACAATGGGAGCTTCATCATCATCACCTCTTTGCAGATAGATTTTAGACTCTTACCTGCATGCTGGAGATTGAAAACTATACATTTGGTTAACAGAAAAATAGCGCAGAACTAAACACCATAAATGACATACACATGCTTTATAGGAATATAAACGTAATTTCATGCAGAAGATTAGTTATCTGTTTGCATAGGTTCACTGTATAGCATAAGTGTTATACTTTAAACACAGTGGAGTGTTCACTATGCTCAGTCCATTATGCAAGATTGAACTTAAAGTAGAGACATGTCCAATTGGGATCACTGAATGGTGTCCAGATCCACTCTTGATCCTCAGCCAAGGGTGGACATTATATTCATATGCCAGTTCAGTTGATTACGTGTTTGCTGTTATATCAGAACATCGGGAAGCTTACTCATGATATGGGACCATTTGGTCCAAATGGCTCATTCGGGAAGGAAACCACAGACAAGCTGGAAGACAGCCAGATACTGGTGCCAACAATTGCACATCTGCCAGTAGGGGAAGATGATTTATAATGTGAAAATACCCTTGAGTAATTTGTGGGTAAATTTTTTAACGTACTGTAGTCAATTTGTACCATGATGTTGGCACTCAGTGGCCTACTCTTGGGAAAGACGTCACGGGACCTTTAGCATCCGCTGTGAGGTGGCCTGCGTGTGTCACTTGACAGCCAGGATAACCTTGTCAATGGAATGTTCCTTCGCAAGGGATTTTCCAGGTAAAATATTTCGATCAATAAAATTGAAAGTGAATTATTAATGCAAACAACGCCGACACTCTACAACGTGTTGTGAACCGGATTTTGGTTAAATTTACTTGAGAATTTGGCTGAGATTAATTGAGAGTACTGTGCTGCATATAAAGCCACTCTATACATTGAGAGAGGATTAACCAGCATATTGCACGGTAATTATGACTTTATATTCTTTGGGTCTTTCGGTAAAGCCACGTCGATGGAAAAATAATAAAAATATCACGACGTTTCGATCGCAACACAAGCAATCGTCATCAGGTGAAAAAATTGCTGATGAGGAAGGATGTTATATAGGTTTGAGATGGATTTAGCCCAAGGGTAAGTGGGTGGAGCTAGAGATGGAATTTGCATGTAAATGTGAGATCGGAGAGCTGATATACCTCCACGACTACGAAGCTGTGGAGGTGGCCATTGTATTGTGAGAGATTGGCCTGTCAATGTAAGCGAACCACTGCAACGGTGGCTGTGTTAGTGAGACATCCAGCTCGTTAAAAAATTATTACTTTCTAGAAAATCCTCAACGAGTCTCAAGGTTATATTCAGGAGGGTCCTGCTTCATTGGCATATGCTAAATACCATGAGAGTTTTGCATACGACTGAAGTACTGTGCCTAGAAAAAAAAAACAATATATAAAGGATATGCTTGGTTCTTTCACGTAAATAGAAAATAAAAATAAATGAAAATTATAAATAAAAGCTACATTTTATTTTTCTATCTATGTGACTTTGCCGAAATAACCAATAATATGAATTCCTGCAGTCACGAAAGATTTAAGTCAAATTTTAAATATAAAGGAGTCACACTCAAAACCACACACAATTTTTTTTAAACCTACTTGCTGGACTGCCATCTCCTGGTCACCTCAGCCCGGTGGGTTTAAGAGTCTCAAAAAATCTTAACGAGTCATCGACCCGTGTCTTCAAAGTGCTGGCTGACAACCGCGTGCAGGACAACACCGCGAAGCGAACACGAACGACAGCCTCCCTCCCCTGCCCTTAGCCATCAAGAGCACCTGCACGTCCCTGCTGCTCTTCCCACTGGCCAGCCAGCTTCTCTCCCACATCATCATCGGCCAGGCCACGCTCCGTGTCCCGTGTCTCGTCGGCTGCCTCGGGCTCGGCGGCCGCTCCGCCACCCATCGCGGCTTCGCCCTCAGCATGGGATGAACAATCGTGCGGCTCCTCCATGGGGAGATCCCTCTCGGTCTCCTGGGCACAGACGGTCAGGCGGACCTCCTACCGCCAGCCCAACGTTCACCCCCACACACGCCTGTCAGAGCACAGCAGCGATTATTCTCGCCATTGTCATATCAATGGTACATCACGTAAGGATGGTGGAAGTCGTACCACAGTTCCTCCTATCATACTTAACAATGCTCATTTAAACCGCTGGGTGGACAGAGGCCAGGGCCGGGAGGAAGGGGGTCGGGGTTTAAGAAACTTGCCCAGCTGCCGCGCCGGGAGAACGAACCCCAAGCTCCGGGTTGCAAGTCGGGGCGTGCTCAACCAGAACGGACAACACGAGATCGCACCCCGAGCACGGTCAGTGTAAAACTTGTATATACATTGTGTAGTTATTATGATTGCATAATGTGCAAGTAGAATAGTGTCTATAATAGTGGCGGATTTATATATACGTGTGTGTGTAAAACAAATATATAGCGTGAATAATCGCGAACATTTGTTGTGATAGTGATTCTATTCGTGTTACCAGCTGCTGGCTCGCGCGCCGCTTCTCAGGGTGGAGACGCGTTGCCATGGCGACCGCGCTGCGCGTTTCGGTGGCGACCGCCTCTGCCGGCTCCTCCGCGCGTCTTCCTCTTCCGGAAGATTCCCGCCACGCTTGCGGGCGGCTCGCGCGCGCGCGCATCAGCTTCAGTTTTTTCAGTTTTCATTTATTTTGGTAGAGCCCTGTGAGCCATTTGGCTCTTGAATCGGGTGCAACCGCAACAAACAAAAAACATGAACAAGAAAACATCTTAAAGTGACTACGTGTGACTGTGCAAACAGAAAATCCAGGAAAAAAACAGCAAAATATTCCTGAAAAAGCACCGTACACCAACGCTGTGTGCAAAAATCCCAGTGGGATGCAAGTCAAACAACAACCACAAGACAACTTAGATTAAGGCCATCAGTCTAACTCCGTACTACAACAAACAAACATGGCCAAACCAAAAAACTTTTAGACATCACCAAAATAAAGCCATAAAAGCAATGTAACAGTGATCATAGGGACTGTGACCGAATTGTTTCCAATAAAGTACATAAATAACATGTAACGCCAAACCCTAGAGCCACAGCTGGCTGCATGAGTCACTCCACAAACAACAGGAGCATCAGTCGGAGTATCACATTTTTCAATGCACCTTTAAGATCAGCACACTAAATCAAAATACAGTTAATACTTTGCAGCGGTCATCCGGAGCGAAACATTTTATTTTATTTTAGGCCACTGAATAGCAGTGGCAGCTAGGGGTGTACAACTCCTCTAGAGCAGTTTTGAGTGAAGATCTCATAAGTAGTGATTCAAGTTGCTGTGTATTGGCAATAGCATTCCAGACCCTGGGGGCATCAATAGTAAAGGCCCTTCCTCCAGTTTTTGTATGGCAATAGGGAATGTGAAGCTGGTAAATGAGCAAAGACCTGAGGTCAAATTTGTTATTTGAAACAGAGAGGAGATCCAGCAGGTAGTCTGCGGATTTTTTTGTAAGTACATCGTGAATAAATAAGATCTGATGCACAAGCCGTCGAACATTAAGAGATGTTAAGTTTGACCCAATGTAGAGATCATAGTGGTGGGTCCTATATGGGCAGTTCAATGCAAATCTTAAGGCCGAGTGATAAATGGAATAAAACTTCTTCAGTACAGTACTTGGGGCTGATTTATAATACACGATGTCACAGTAATCAAGTAGAGGCAGTATGGTAGCTTTTATCAATTCCAAACCGAACATAGGGGAGAAGCAGTGCTTGTGTCGATACAGAAAACCAATTTTTAGTTTTTGTCTTTTTACCAATATAATCAAAGTGATCTTCAAAATTCAGTTTTGAATCCAAGATGACCCCAAGATACTTATAGATCTTGACTTGCTCTATTTGATAATTATTTAAGGAATGTAATTGGGGAAAAATAACTTCCTGCTTTAGTCCTGGTGAAAAGCATAGCACCTTGGTTTTGGAGGTATTCAGGACTAGTTTAAGAGCAACTAGCTGATGTTGTAGTTTGTTGAAATCACCTGGAGCTTAGCAATATGTTTGCACAGTCACATAGTCACTTTAAGATGTTTTTCTTGTTCGTGTTTGTGTTTTATTTGTTTGTTGCGGTTGCACCCGATTCAAGAGCCGAATGGCTCACAGGGCTATACCAAAATAAACTGAACTGAATCACGTCATCCGGAGAGCGGCCAGCAGTAATCAGTATCGTGTGATCTGCAAAAAGATTTACCCTGGAATGATCCAGGTCAGTGCCCAAGTCATTGACATAAAGAGAGAACAAGAGGGGGCCGAGGATGGAACCCTGTGAAACCCCTTTTGTTATCTTAACACTGTTTGACCTCCAAACATCTGTGAATACAGTTTGGGTGCGAGAAAAGAGGTAATTTTATTTACCATTTTACTGCGTTTTTGGAAAAACCGAGGCAACTTAGTTTACTAAACAGGGTGTTGTGGTCTACTGTATCAAAAGCTTTGGACAGGTCAAGAAAAAGACAGGCACAGTACTGCTTATTATCAAGGCTACTGTAAATGTAATCCAGAGAGTCTAATGCAGCAGATGTAGTGCTGTATTTTTTTCGGAACCCAGGTTGTTTTAGATGTAGTAGATTGTTGGTGGACATGAAACTGCTAATTTGGTAGTTCAATAATTTTTCAAAAATTTTCGTCAACGGGGACAAAATTGAGATAGGTCGGTAGTTATTTGGGTCATCTTTAGGGCCCCCTTTGTGAAGTGGACGGACATAGGAATGTTTCCATTCTAGAGGAACTGATGCTTCTTTGATGGACAGGTTGAAAATATTGGCTATAGGTTTGTATATTAGGTGACCAACAGTTAGTAGAGTAAAGACGGGAAAACTATCTGCTCCGGTAGAGGAGGACCCTTTGAGGTAGGACAGTTGTTTCAGAACATTACTTTCGTGGATTGGCTGGAAACTAAATTCGTTTAATGTTTGGACAGGGGTGTAGGAATTTGCATGAGCAGGGGTGACTCCCAATACATTATCAAAAAGATTACCAGCTTCAGAAAAATGAATGGACTGGGGGGGGGAGACTAGGGGGCTGGGAGGGAAGTCGAGGGGGCTGGGAGGGTGGGAGCGGGATCGAGGGGGTGGGAGGGGAGTCGAGGGAGGTGGGAGGAGAGTCGAGGGGGGTGGTAGGGTGGGAGGGAAGTTGAGGGGGGTGGGAGGAGAGTCGAGGGGGGGGGGTCGGGGGGGGTGGTAGGGGAGTCGAGGGGGGGTCGGGGGGGGGGGGAGTCGAGGGGGGTGGCAGGGGAGTTGAGGGGGCGGGAGGGGAGTTGAGGGGGCGGGAGGGGGGTCGGGGGGGGGAGTCGAGGGGGGTGGGAGTCGTGGGGGGGGGGGGGAGTCGTGGGGGGGGGGGGGAGTCGTGGGGGGGTGGGAGGGGAGTGAGTCGTGGGGGGGTGGGAGTGGAGTGAGTCGTGGGGGGAGGGAGTGAGTCGTGGGGGGGTGGGAGGGGAGTGAGTGGAAGTGGAGTGAGTGGGAGGGAGTGAGTCGTGCCCTGGCGGAGTGAGGACAGAGACCCGAGTGAGTCTTGGTGCGCTTTCCATGTTGGATGATTGCGTGCGATTCGCGCGCGCCGTGGGTGTGTGGGCAGTGAGTGAGTGTGAGCTGTGTTGTTGTTGTTGTTTGCTGCTGCTGCTGCTGTTGGTGAGCGGACAAAAGTCGCTCCTCCTGCCACGTCCTCCGACCAGGAAGTGGAGGCCGCACGTGGAGACGGGGAGGCCCGCGCACTGCCCGCGCGTCCTCTGCGTGCTGTGTGCTGCGTGTACTGTTCGTGCAGTGTGTGCTGTGTCTGCTCGTGGTGTTTTCAGTGTACTGTGTGTGCGTGGTGTTTTCAGTGCACTGTGTGTGCGTGGTGTTTTCAGTGTACTGTGTGTGCGTGGTGTTTTCAGTGTACTGTGTGTGCGATGCGTGCACTTTGTACACTGCGTGTACTCTGCATCGAGCTTGGTATGTGTACAGTGCTGCGTGTGGAGTGTGTACAGTACCGTGTTTGCTGTCGTGTGTGATGTGCATGTATGTGATGTGTACTGTGGTGTGCTGTAGTGTATGTGTGTGATGTGTACTGTGGTGTGCTGTGGTGTATGTGTGTGATGTGTACTGTGGTGTATGTGTGTGATGTGTACTGTGATGTGCTGTAGTGTATGTGTGTGATGTGTACTGTGGTGTATGTGTGTGATGTGTACTGTGGTGTGTGATGTGTACTGTGGTGTGCTGTAGTGTATGTGTGTGATGTATACTGTGATGTGCTGTAGTGTATGTGTGATGTGTACTGTGGTGTGCTGTAGTGTATGTGTGTGATGTGTACTGTGGTGTATGTATGTGATGTGTACTGTGATGTGCTGTAGTGTATGTGTGTGATGTGTACTGTGGTGTGCTGTGGTGTATGTGTGTGATGTGTACTGTGATGTGCTGTGGTGTATGTGTGTGATGTGTACTGTGATGTGCTGTAGTGTATGTGTGTGATGTGTACTGTGGTGTATGTATGTGATGTGTACTGTGATGTGCTGTAGTGTATGTGTGTGATGTGTACTGTGGTGTGCTGTGGTGTATGTGATGTGTACTGTGATGTGCTATGGTGTATGTGTGATGTGTACTGTGGTGTATGTGTGTGATGTGTACTGTGATGTGCTGTGGTGTATGTGTGTGATATGTACTGTGGTGTATGTATGTGATGTGTACTGTGATGTGCTGTAGTGTGTGTGTGTGATGTGTACTGTGGTGTATGTGTGTGATGTGTACTGTGATGTGCTGTGGTGTGTGATGTGTACTGTGGTGTATGTATGTGATGTGTACTGTGATGTGCTGTAGTGTATGTGTGTGATGTGTACTGTGATGTGCTGTAGTGTATGTGTGTGATGTGTACTGTGGTGTGCTGTGGTGTATGTGTGATGTGTACTGTGATGTGCTGTGGTGTATGTGTGATGTGTACTGTGATGTGCTGTAGTGTATGTGTGTGATGTGTACTGTGGTGTATGTATGTGATGTGTACTGTGGTGTGATGTGGTGTATGTATGTGATGTGTACTGTGATGTGCTGTATTGTATGTGTGTGATGTGTACTGTGGTGTACTGTGATGTGCTGTAGTGTATGTGTGTGATGTGTACTGTGGTGTGCTGTGGAGTATGTGTGATGTGTACTGTGGTGTGCTGTGGTGTATGTGTGTGATGTGTACTGTGGTGTGCTGTGGTGTATGTGTGATGTGTACTGTGGTGTGCTGTGGTGTGTGTGTGTGATGTGTACTGTGGTGTATGTGTGTGATGTGTACTGTGATGTTCTGTAGTGTGTGTGTGTGATGTGTACTGTGGTGTATGTGTGTGATGTGTACTGTGATGTGCTGTGGTGTGTGATGTGTACTGTGGTGTATGTATGTGATGTGTACTGTGATGTGCTGTAGTGTATGTGTGTGATGTGTACTGTGATGTGCTGTAGTGTATGTGTGTGATGTGTACTGTGGTGTGCTGTGGTGTATGTGTGATGTGTACTGTGATGTGCTGTGGTGTATGTGTGTGATGTGTACTGTGATGTGCTGTAGTGTATGTGTGTGATGTGTACTGTG